TAAGAGTCGCAGTTTCAAATTGGGATGGTCATCCGAACCAGTTGCGTAAGCTATTCCCGACATGTTTAGACGTTCAGTGGATTCAGAAAAAACGGTGAGTAAAGTTAGTTTTCGGCGAATTGGTTCAAACGTTTCGTAAACTAGTCACTCACTTAAGTTATTTAGCGTCAGTTACTATCGGTCTTACATTTTCTTCTTCATACAGAAAGGCATTTCTTAAATTTCCTTCCTTGGAAGTCCGAAAGGCTGCTGTCTCACAGCCAAAGTTCCATGCCGGTAAACAGCTGAAACTGGCATTAACAGGGGGACCAGAGCTCAAGACTGCCATCGTTTGGGGTTTTCCAGCTGATACAAAGGAATCAGACATCAAAGGATTATTTGGTGGCGTCGTTTCAGTGTCACGTGATACAACTACAGGGAACCAGAGCGCGTAAGTATATTGATATCTTGATAGTTGCCTTTGAAACTAAATTGTTACTGCCTTTATCTCAGTTTGATTAGATCAGTTTGTCCGTAACGTCTGACAGTGTATTGCCTTGTTTCAGATCCATGACTGTCGAGTTTGAAACCGCTGCAGATTGTAACAATGCAATTTCCTCAAACGCAACTCTGAAAGGTCGCCGCGTGACAATATTTTTAAAAGGTATGTAGAATGATAATTGAAATTTCACCTCGAAAGTTTTTATTTGCTCACATTACATGTCATCCAGACACCAACTTACTAGGATTTTTGCTTCAATCTTTCGAGTTTTTGCCTCACTAAACTAACCCGTATTTCTCCTTCAGATGTCTTTGTTGATGATTGTGCTAACAATCAACAGAAGCATCCTGGACCATCTGAGAAGAAAGCTAAACGTGAGTTTGTTTCGGTTTGTTTTGTATGTTTGTTCGCAATTGTGCTGTCTTTCTAAAGGTTTTTGGTGTTCATTATAGCTGTAGAAGTAGGTGTTTCGAAGGTCAAGACTGCTCACAAAGTTTCAAAGGCAGAGGAAGTGAATGACGCAGATGACATTGAGGATGAGAATGACGACGAAGAGGACGAAGGTACAAGTGAAGATGGCGACGACAGTGACGAAGACGATGAAAGTGAAGATGAAAGCGAGGAAGAAGAGGACGGAAGTGAAGACGAAAGTGACGAGGACGTTGATATGGTCTCACCTAAAGGCAAGGAGAAGAAGCAGTTTCCTGGCTTACACGACAAAAAAACTGGTGGATTTCCGAAAGCAGACAACCGTTCAGGAGATCAAAGCAACTTCAAAGCGCAGCACAAATTTGGTGGTGATTTCAAGCGCAACTCGTTTCGTGGTCGTGGTGGTCGATCTCGCGGCCGCGGTGGTCAGTCGCCTCACGGTCGTGGTGGACAGTCTTTCCGTGGTCGTGGTGGTAACCGTGGGGGCTGGTCAAAACGCGGTGGTTCTGATTAAAAAACTTGATTGCTCTGTAAATCCAAATTGCAAATAAATCTTTGTAAATGAATCTGATTTCTCTGACAGTTTGTTTTCCGTCCTTGATGAGTACTTCTGTTTTTAGTTAAAAAGCATGTCACTGACACAAGCATACCAGTCTGGTCAAGCCACTTCTTTGGCCGTATACAATCTACCCACCTCGGCAGACGAAACAGAAGTTCAGTCGGTATTCCCTTCGGCCAGGTCAGTCAACTTCGTACGAAGTCATTCTGTGTCTTCGCAATCTAAAGGGTGAGTACAGTTTGCTCCCTACAAATTGATTTGTTACCGCACATTTAACGACATTATAAGAGATCTAATTCACTCCGTTTTATGAGCAGTACCACAGTAGGTTCGACAGTCTGCGATATTTTTGTTTGGCAAGTTAAATGTCCAAAGGTGAACCTAGGCATTTTAATGATGTTCCGTTAGTACGTTAACAAGAACTGACTCCGATCTTTTACCTTTCTACCTTTTGTTACTGGCGACGCAGGTGTGCCACATTGACCCATTCCTGTAATGTGAGCAGGTGGTACTATTTGCGATGGAGTGAAATGCAGGAAGGTCGACCCGAACACTTTCGATGGAGGTAGAAATTTGTTACTCGAAAGATCTGCCTACGGGGTCTTTAGTAAAGCTTATTCGCTTCCCATTGATCGCTCCATATTTGCTCTCTTTTTCTGTTTCATATGTGAAACAGCATGTGCATCTTGCAATTCAACAATGCTCGCGACTGTCAACAAGCCTACGATGAATGTCTTCAAGGAAAAGAAATTGGTGGACAGCTGCTGCATGCGGAACTGAACGGAGGTGAGTTGGTCATTAAAACTCGTACAATCACTGGACTTATTTCAAAAGCTCTTTAATAATCACTCAGTTTATATATTTCAGATTATCATTCCAGTTCGTCAGAAAATTTAAATGTCAGCCAGCATTATGGAGGCAATTCCAGGGATTTCAGACGTTCACATGCCGATAATGAGTACAGCCAGCCCACGTATGATCCGCATAGTAGAACTGATAGTGAGAGTTCTTCCAACGCCTCTTGTACACTCACCGTGTCAAATCTTCCCTATACAGCATCTGAAAGAGATATTATGCGCGAGTTCCCAGAAGCCCTCCGAGTGGCACTTTCGTTAGACGAGCAGGGACGTTCCAGAGGGTAAATTTTATTTTTGAACTTTCATTTGTTTGTAGCGTTGCTCACGTGACTTTCTCGAATTCCGACCAGTGCAGCGCCGCTCTTACTTCCTGCGGAAATAAGATGATGGGCGGTAGGCCTGTACGTGGACGAATCCAGAGAGGTAAAGGATTGCCCATAAATTGTATGTGATGTTCATTATAGACCAGGAGCACAATCAACAACCGAGTTATAACAATCAGCGCCCTTATAATCGTGACCAAAGAGAATACGGTCAACGTAATCAACGCGACTACAATCAGCGGAATTTCAATAATCGAGATCACACCAACCAGCGTGAAAACGGTAACCAGAGAGATGGCAATCAACGTGAGTACAATCAGCGTGATTATAGTGGTCAACGTGACTACAACAGACAAGGTAAGTTTATTTTGTCAGGCAACTAACTGGTTTAGTTGTTTCAGTGTGACAGGCAGTGTAACTATTTTCTTTTTGTGGTTTCAGGTAGGCAGTTCGACTACAATTCAGGCAGAGGCGAAAGAGATGTAAACCGTTTCCGAGGTGCTCCAGCTAATCGAGGCGGGTCACGCGAGTTTGGTAGAAATGACCGCTTCGAACGAACAGATCAAAGACGAGATCGCAGCCCAGCCAGAGGAGAGCCAGTTCGTGGGTACGGCAGCTCAAAAGGACCCCGAATAACATCAGCCGTAATTCACCGTCCAGGAAATGCCAGCCCTTCGGAGTCGTCCTCTTCAGATGAGGACTAAATATCCTGGTATTTTTCAGGGATTCCTTACTGATGCGTCGTGCAAATACTTTTATTAACGTACATATGACTTTAAACATTAAAATATTCATGTTGGAAATTCATTAATGTTGTAGTCTAATATACACTTCACTTCATACGCGGTTTTTTACAGAACACAGTGAGGTAAAGTAGCGGGACAGAGTTGAGGTCATGCTGGAATAAGTCGATTCCAACCATATATATATATATATATATATATATATGGAAGAAGGGTTGGGTATTAGTGTCTTAACCAGGCTTCGCTTATAAAACGTAATTTTTTTTAGTCAGGACTTTCGAGATGGTGACTGACCTGAAGCTCATTTTGTCGGGTACTGGTTCCTCTCGAGCAACTCATCGAATGCTAATAAGGCAACAATGTTATAATTAGTGGTTGGAAATTGTCCGTCTACTTACTGTGATAATGATAATTAATTACCTCTAAATTACAGGTGATATGGCTCGGGAGTCAGGCAAATTAGTGCATCTGTCCTATTTTTGAGTTATTCAGAATGTCACCCAGGGTCGCCACTAATACACAATTAGGGTACCTAGATGTCGTGTCAGATGAACCGAAATAAACGCAAAGTCATGGCGCATGTTCTCCCACAAGGCATGTACGCGATGTCTATGTTTTGCCGACCGACCTTCATAGGGAAGATAGAGTTCGCAAGTAGTATAGTGTTCCAAGAGTTCCGATCACACATGTGACTAACCGATAGATATGAGAGTGCTTCAAATCGCTGACCTGGTTTGCCGTACGTCGGTACTGCGGTATAAGCAGGTCTTTTGGATGCTAATGAAATTTGGGCTGTGGTTTTCTGAGAGAAGATTATGAGCCTAGTGATGCTCTTCACTCCCTAAGAGAATAGCCCCACATTTGTGGTTAAGGGGATAGTGAGTTAGTGTTAGAACGTACGATTTTCCGGCTTTATATACTATAAAATGCTCTTATCTCAACATCGGCTACCTTCGATTCCGCAGGACTTAGGATTTGGTGGAATTATCCCACTACAGGCCTGAGTCGGCAGTTCACTGTTTCCTCTATCCCTTTGAAAAAGGATAGACTGGATAGGAATCCAAGAAGATGTTGAAGTCGCGTCAATTTCCGAAAAATTAGCACGACATTTATCATATAGGCTTCGGGAGAATAGTAAGTTCTCCCACAATAGCACAAACTTTGGTCTCCGGCAGAATCGAGTGCAATACCAATTACTAGAGGTCCACAACCACGGGGTCCTCGTTGTCTTTTTATGGACGCCCTGTTACCAGGCCCTCGGCGAAAGGAGTTGACAACGCACACTGTATCCATACAACAACAACAACAGCGAGAGATGCCTTCATTCAATCAACAACAAACTGAATGTACGACACTCGGTAGAATTAGCTGATGTCCTGTCATCTTTTACGCTAACCATTTGACCTGGCTGAATGTGTAGTATATTTGTTGGTGAACGATAATATCCTTACAGGAAGTAATTCGGTGTAAGCCCGCATGTTTCATCCCTGGTTTTTTGTAGTCCTCAGTTGATTACTAACATATGCTGTTAAAAGCTCAATGAATAGTTTTAATGTGTTACGTGTTTAAGCGTGTGTTTCACATTCAACGTCCGGTGGTTAGTTGAACATGGTGAGTGGGATGGGGCTCATGGGTGCTTATGTGTGATCCCGTTGTTCTCATGACTAACGCACGTTTTTTTTATCTTTCAGGGTCGTTCGAAGCAGTTGTGTAAGTAATACTCTTTGGTTTACGTCCCATTTTCTGTTTTCGAATTTACTTACCAGATTGTTTGGTTTTAGTAAATAATTCAACAATTAAATCTCCAAAGCCTAGTGCTACTCCGGAATCAAAAAACAAGCATCTTGTCAACGGCAAAGGCACTCCATTGAGAGGTGGATCAAAGCGTCCAGTCCCTGTCGGCAGCGACGATAGTGATGTAGAGGTTGAGACTGGTGCGTTTGGCGGTGATGCTGGTGAACTAAGGATGTCACATAAGGTAAATAAGCTAATATCTTCACTCCATATAGCCCGAGTTGTTTTTGTCTTGTTACGCACCAGAAGTTTGCTCGGTATGTAAGGATATTCTCATAAAGTCTCGATTGTCTGCTAGCCTTAGAGTCTATTGATTACACAGTACTGTGTTTATAGTCCGATTCCATATAGGTTGTGCTTGTCACTACCTTTCATGATCTTTTTGTGGGAAGCCTAGTCAGACTTTGTGAGTTGTGGGTTACTCTTATATTCGACCAGTGACATGTACTTAGCGTGTATAAACACATTTATGACAGTGGGCGTTCACATGGTTACAAGCTCAAACAATGATCAACGTTTACCTTGAGTTTTGTTATTTGTACTTATGGTCTTCCTACTTCGTGATGAATGACTATCAAGTTTCCTGTTTAGTGTAGCTGAACCGGGACTGATAGTTGGGTGAAGATGTGAATTAGTTTTTACTTATATATATGGAGAGGATGGTGTTCTATCTGAGCCTCAAGTTCCAATCTCATGCATATCGGGTTCTATATTAGACTTTCTAGTAATTAATACTAGTTTATTTTCTTACCTAACTTAATATGGTAATGCACAAGCCAGATAGTTCATGTAAGCCGGCAGCAGTCGAATCGTCCTACCACAAAAACAGATCAGTTCGAAATCTCGACTAGTTTATTGGGGCACAGATTTGCCACAAGCGAAATCAACTAATTTTTAAAAGCTTCAGAGTATATAAGTCTTATAACCTGATCAAACGATTTTTGTTCCAAACAAATTCATAGAAACTGAAGCTGGCGACTGAAAAGGGGATGGAACTGCAGAAAAAAGGTCTTGTCAGTGAAGATGAAGAGGATGATGAAGAAGAAAATGATAGTGCGGAAGAAGAGGAGGAGGAGGACGAAGAGAATGGAGATGATGACGATGACGAAAGCGAAGAGGAAGATGACGACGACGATAGTGAGGAAGAGGATGATGACGACGATTGTGAGGAGGAAGACGACGACGATAATGAGGAAGAATCTAGTGAAGGAGAGGAAGAAAGTAATAAAGACAATTCAAAACTGAATGCTGAGAAAGGTAAAGCCATCAACAACCTGGTTGGGTCAAAGGCTGTCCAAAAACCTGGTTCGATGTTGAACAATGAGAAATTGACGGAAAATAAGGTATCAAGCATACCGAGTAAAGTGACTGAGGGGTCTGAGCCACAAAGCAGTACATCAGGCAAGGTCCTCATACTACATGGACCTGATAACTTGAATAGTTTGAAAGAATTCCTTTCCAAAATTAGCCCAGTGACCAGCATAAGCAGGATGGAACCAGCACCCATAATGGCTACCATCGCTAATATAAGCATTTTCAAAAGTCGATTAAAGTCAGGAAAGTTGATGTTTCACGGGAAGGAGCTCGAAGTAATACCTGTAGAGAGAGTCAAGGACGCCAATAAAGGAATGCAACCCACCAAAACTTTGTTCGTAGGTGGAATTCCAAAATCCATGACAATTGTAAGTTACTTCTTTCTAAACATTGTATTATTCCAGGAACAACTAAAAAGTCAACTCCCCAACAACTGTCAACCTGTTTCCCTAAATTTGCTGAATAAAAACCCTAAAATCAATAGTGCATTTATGTCCTTCTCCTCTATTGATATGGCTAAGCAAGCTCACCAAATTTTCAGTTCTTTAACTGTGGAAGGTCAACCGTTCAAAGCTAACTTCGCTAAAGACCAACAGCCTCGTAAGTATTGATTGTCAGTAGTCGTTTAACTGGCATCCTTTAGGAGCTGGTCCTGATGGGTCCGTAAGAGTCGCAGTTTCAAATTGGGATGGTCATCCGAACCAGTTGCGTAAGCTATTCCCGACATGTTTAGACGTTCAGTGGATTCAGAAAAAACGGTGAGTAAAGTTAGTTTTCGGCGAATTGGTTCAAACGTTTCGTAAACTAGTCACTCACTTAAGTTATTTAGCGTCAGTTACTATCGGTCTTACATTTTCTTCTTCATACAGAAAGGCATTTCTTAAATTTCCTTCCTTGGAAGTCCGAAAGGCTGCTGTCTCACAGCCAAAGTTCCATGCCGGTAAACAGCTGAAACTGGCATTAACAGGGGGACCAGAGCTCAAGACTGCCATCGTTTGGGGTTTTCCAGCTGATACAAAGGAATCAGACATCAAAGGATTATTTGGTGGCGTCGTTTCAGTGTCACGTGATACAACTACAGGGAACCAGAGCGCGTAAGTATATTGATATCTTGATAGTTGCCTTTGAAACTAAATTGTTACTGCCTTTATCTCAGTTTGATTAGATCAGTTTGTCCGTAACGTCTGACAGTGTATTGCCTTGTTTCAGATCCATGACTGTCGAGTTTGAAACCGCTGCAGATTGTAACAATGCAATTTCCTCAAACGCAACTCTGAAAGGTCGCCGCGTGACAATATTTTTAAAAGGTATGTAGAATGATAATTGAAATTTCACCTCGAAAGTTTTTATTTGCTCACATTACATGTCATCCAGACACCAACTTACTAGGATTTTTGCTTCAATCTTTCGAGTTTTTGCCTCACTAAACTAACCCGTATTTCTCCTTCAGATGTCTTTGTTGATGATTGTGCTAACAATCAACAGAAGCATCCTGGACCATCTGAGAAGAAAGCTAAACGTGAGTTTGTTTCGGTTTGTTTTGTATGTTTGTTCGCAATTGTGCTGTCTTTCTAAAGGTTTTTGGTGTTCATTATAGCTGTAGAAGTAGGTGTTTCGAAGGTCAAGACTGCTCACAAAGTTTCAAAGGCAGAGGAAGTGAATGACGCAGATGACATTGAGGATGAGAATGACGACGAAGAGGACGAAGGTACAAGTGAAGATGGCGACGACAGTGACGAAGACGATGAAAGTGAAGATGAAAGCGAGGAAGAAGAGGACGGAAGTGAAGACGAAAGTGACGAGGACGTTGATATGGTCTCACCTAAAGGCAAGGAGAAGAAGCAGTTTCCTGGCTTACACGACAAAAAAACTGGTGGATTTCCGAAAGCAGACAACCGTTCAGGAGATCAAAGCAACTTCAAAGCGCAGCACAAATTTGGTGGTGATTTCAAGCGCAACTCGTTTCGTGGTCGTGGTGGTCGATCTCGCGGCCGCGGTGGTCAGTCGCCTCACGGTCGTGGTGGACAGTCTTTCCGTGGTCGTGGTGGTAACCGTGGGGGCTGGTCAAAACGCGGTGGTTCTGATTAAAAAACTTGATTGCTCTGTAAATCCAAATTGCAAATAAATCTTTGTAAATGAATCTGATTTCTCTGACAGTTTGTTTTCCGTCCTTGATGAGTACTTCTGTTTTTAGTTAAAAAGCATGTCACTGACACAAGCATACCAGTCTGGTCAAGCCACTTCTTTGGCCGTATACAATCTACCCACCTCGGCAGACGAAACAGAAGTTCAGTCGGTATTCCCTTCGGCCAGGTCAGTCAACTTCGTACGAAGTCATTCTGTGTCTTCGCAATCTAAAGGGTGAGTACAGTTTGCTCCCTACAAATTGATTTGTTACCGCACATTTAACGACATTATAAGAGATCTAATTCACTCCGTTTTATGAGCAGTACCACAGTAGGTTCGACAGTCTGCGATATTTTTGTTTGGCAAGTTAAATGTCCAAAGGTGAACCTAGGCATTTTAATGATGTTCCGTTAGTACGTTAACAAGAACTGACTCCGATCTTTTACCTTTCTACCTTTTGTTACTGGCGACGCAGGTGTGCCACATTGACCCATTCCTGTAATGTGAGCAGGTGGTACTATTTGCGATGGAGTGAAATGCAGGAAGGTCGACCCGAACACTTCGATGGAGGTAGAAATTTGTTACTCGAAAGATCTGCCTACGGGGTCTTTAGTAAAGCTTATTCGCTTCCCATTGATCGCTCCATATTTGCTCTCTTTTTCTGTTTCATATGTGAAACAGCATGTGCATCTTGCAATTCAACAATGCTCGCGACTGTCAACAAGCCTACGATGAATGTCTTCAAGGAAAAGAAATTGGTGGACAGCTGCTGCATGCGGAACTGAACGGAGGTGAGTTGGTCATTAAAACTCGTACAATCACTGGACTTATTTCAAAAGCTCTTTAATAATCACTCAGTTTATATATTTCAGATTATCATTCCAGTTCGTCAGAAAATTTAAATGTCAGCCAGCATTATGGAGGCAATTCCAGGGATTTCAGACGTTCACATGCCGATAATGAGTACAGCCAGCCCACGTATGATCCGCATAGTAGAACTGATAGTGAGAGTTCTTCCAACGCCTCTTGTACACTCACCGTGTCAAATCTTCCCTATACAGCATCTGAAAGAGATATTATGCGCGAGTTCCCAGAAGCCCTCCGAGTGGCACTTTCGTTAGACGAGCAGGGACGTTCCAGAGGGTAAATTTTATTTTTGAACTTTCATTTGTTTGTAGCGTTGCTCACGTGACTTTCTCGAATTCCGACCAGTGCAGCGCCGCTCTTACTTCCTGCGGAAATAAGATGATGGGCGGTAGGCCTGTACGTGGACGAATCCAGAGAGGTAAAGGATTGCCCATAAATTGTATGTGATGTTCATTATAGACCAGGAGCACAATCAACAACCGAGTTATAACAATCAGCGCCCTTATAATCGTGACCAAAGAGAATACGGTCAACGTAATCAACGCGACTACAATCAGCGGAATTTCAATAATCGAGATCACACCAACCAGCGTGAAAACGGTAACCAGAGAGATGGCAATCAACGTGAGTACAATCAGCGTGATTATAGTGGTCAACGTGACTACAACAGACAAGGTAAGTTTATTTTGTCAGGCAACTAACTGGTTTAGTTGTTTCAGTGTGACAGGCAGTGTAACTATTTTCTTTTTGTGGTTTCAGGTAGGCAGTTCGACTACAATTCAGGCAGAGGCGAAAGAGATGTAAACCGTTTCCAAGGTGCTCCAGCTAATCGAGGCGGGTCACGCGAGTTTGGTAGAAATGACCGCTTCGAACGAACAGATCAAAGACGAGATCGCAGCCCAGCCAGAGGAGAGCCAGTTCGTGGGTACGGCAGCTCAAAAGGACCCCGAATAACATCAGCCGTAATTCACCGTCCAGGAAATGCCAGCCCTTCGGAGTCGTCCTCTTCAGATGAGGACTAAATATCCTGGTATTTTTCAGGGATTCCTTACTGATGCGTCGTGCAAATACTTTTATTAACGTACATATGACTTTAAACATTAAAATATTCATGTTGGAAATTCATTAATGTTGTAGTCTAATATACACTTCACTTCATACGCGGTTTTTTACAGAACACAGTGAGGTAAAGTAGCGGGACAGAGTTGAGGTCATGCTGGAATAAGTCGATTCCAACCATATATATATATATATATATATATATATATATATATATGGAAGAAGGGTTGGGTATTAGTGTCTTAACCAGGCTTCGCTTATAAAACGTAATTTTTTTTAGTCAGGACTTTCGAGATGGTGACTGACCTGAAGCTCATTTTGTCGGGTACTGGTTCCTCTCGAGCAACTCATCGAATGCTAATAAGGCAACAATGTTATAATTAGTGGTTGGAAATTGTCCGTCTACTTACTGTGATAATGATAATTAATTACCTCTAAATTACAGGTGATATGGCTCGGGAGTCAGGCAAATTAGTGCATCTGTCCTATTTTGAGTTATTCAGAATGTCACCCAGGGTCGCCACTAATACACAATTAGGGTACCTAGATGTCGTGTCAGATGAACCGAAATAAACGCAAAGTCATGGCGCATGTTCTCCCACAAGGCATGTACGCGATGTCTATGTTTTGCCGACCGACCTTCATAGGGAAGATAGAGTTCGCAAGTAGTATAGTGTTCCAAGAGTTCCGATCACACATGTGACTAACCGATAGATATGAGAGTGCTTCAAATCGCTGACCTGGTTTGCCGTACGTCGGTACTGCGGTATAAGCAGGTCTTTTGGATGCTAATGAAATTTGGGCTGTGGTTTTCTGAGAGAAGATTATGAGCCTAGTGATGCTCTTCACTCCCTAAGAGAATAGCCCCACATTTGTGGTTAAGGGGATAGTGAGTTAGTGTTAGAACGTACGATTTTCCGGCTTTATATACTATAAAATGCTCTTATCTCAACATCGGCTACCTTCGATTCCGCAGGACTTAGGATTTGGTGGAATTATCCCACTACAGGCCTGAGTCGGCAGTTCACTGTTTCCTCTATCCCTTTGAAAAAGGATAGACTGGATAGGAATCCAAGAAGATGTTGAAGTCGCGTCAATTTCCGAAAAATTAGCACGACATTTATCATATAGGCTTCGGGAGAATAGTAAGTTCTCCCACAATAGCACAAACTTTGGTCTCCGGCAGAATCGAGTGCAATACCAATTACTAGAGGTCCACAACCACGGGGTCCTCGTTGTCTTTTTATGGACGCCCTGTTACCAGGCCCTCGGCGAAAGGAGTTGACAACGCACACTGTATCCATACAACAACAACAACAGCGAGAGATGCCTTCATTCAATCAACAACAAACTGAATGTACGACACTCGGTAGAATTAGCTGATGTCCTGTCATCTTTTACGCTAACCATTTGACCTGGCTGAATGTGTAGTATATTTGTTGGTGAACGATAATATCCTTACAGGAAGTAATTCGGTGTAAGCCCGCATGTTTCATCCCTGGTTTTTTGTAGTCCTCAGTTGATTACTAACATATGCTGTTAAAAGCTCAATGAATAGTTTTAATGTGTTACGTGTTTAAGCGTGTGTTTCACATTCAACGTCCGGTGGTTAGTTGAACATGGTGAGTGGGATGGGGCTCATGGGTGCTTATGTGTGATCCCGTTGTTCTCATGACTAACGCACGTTTTTTTTATCTTTCAGGGTCGTTCGAAGCAGTTGTAAGTAATACTCTTTGGTTTACGTCCCATTTTCTGTTTTCGAATTTACTTACCAGATTGTTTGGTTTTAGTAAATAATTCAACAATTAAATCTCCAAAGCCTAGTGCTACTCCGGAATCAAAAAACAAGCATCTTGTCAACGGCAAAGGCACTCCATTGAGAGGTGGATCAAAGCGTCCAGTCCCTGTCGGCAGCGACGATAGTGATGTAGAGGTTGAGACTGGTGCGTTTGGCGGTGATGCTGGTGAACTAAGGATGTCACATAAGGTAAATAAGCTAATATCTTCACTCCATATAGCCCGAGTTGTTTTTGTCTTGTTACGCACCAGAAGTTTGCTCGGTATGTAAGGATATTCTCATAAAGTCTCGATTGTCTGCTAGCCTTAGAGTCTATTGATTACACAGTACTGTGTTTATAGTCCGATTCCATATAGGTTGTGCTTGTCACTACCTTTCATGATCTTTTGTGGGAAGCCTAGTCAGACTTTGTGAGTTGTGGGTTACTCTTATATTCGACCAGTGACATGTACTTAGCGTGTATAAACACATTTATGACAGTGGGCGTTCACATGGTTACAAGCTCAAACAATGATCAACGTTTACCTTGAGTTTTGTTATTTGTACTTATGGTCTTCCTACTTCGTGATGAATGACTATCAAGTTTCCTGTTTAGTGTAGCTGAACCGGGACTGATAGTTGGGTGAAGATGTGAATTAGTTTTTACTTATATATATGGAGAGGATGGTGTTCTATCTGAGCCTCAAGTTCCAATCTCATGCATATCGGGTTCTATATAGACTTTCTAGTAATTAATACTAGTTTATTTTCTTACCTAACTTAATATGGTAATGCACAAGCCAGATAGTTCATGTAAGCCGGCAGCAGTCGAATCGTCCTACCACAAAAACAGATCAGTTCGAAATCTCGACTAGTTTATTGGGGCACAGATTTGCCACAAGCGAAATCAACTAATTTTTAAAAGCTTCAGAGTATATAAGTCTTATAACCTGATCAAACGATTTTTGTTCCAAACAAATTCATAGAAACTGAAGCTGGCGACTGAAAAGGGGATGGAACTGCAGAAAAAAGGTCTTGTCAGTGAAGATGAAGAGGATGATGAAGAAGAAAATGATAGTGCGGAAGAAGAGGAGGAGGAGGACGAAGAGAATGGAGATGATGACGATGACGAAAGCGAAGAGGAAGATGACGACGACGATAGTGAGGAAGAGGATGATGACGACGATTGTGAGGAGGAAGACGACGACGATAATGAGGAAGAATCTAGTGAAGGAGAGGAAGAAAGTAATAAAGACAATTCAAAACTGAATGCTGAGAAAGGTAAAGCCATCAACAACCTGGTTGGGTCAAAGGCTGTCCAAAAACCTGGTTCGATGTTGAACAATGAGAAATTGACGGAAAATAAGGTATCAAGCATACCGAGTAAAGTGACTGAGGGGTCTGAGCCACAAAGCAGTACATCAGGCAAGGTCCTCATACTACATGGACCTGATAACTTGAATAGTTTGAAAGAATTCCTTTCCAAAATTAGCCCAGTGACCAGCATAAGCAGGATGGAACCAGCACCCATAATGGCTACCATCGCTAATATAAGCATTTTCAAAAGTCGATTAAAGTCAGGAAAGTTGATGTTTCACGGGAAGGAGCTCGAAGTAATACCTGTAGAGAGAGTCAAGGACGCCAATAAAGGAATGCAACCCACCAAAACTTTGTTCGTAGGTGGAATTCCAAAATCCATGACAATTGTAAGTTACTTCTTTCTAAACATTGTATTATTCCAGGAACAACTAAAAAGTCAACTCCCCAACAACTGTCAACCTGTTTCCCTAAATTTGCTGAATAAAAACCCTAAAATCAATAGTGCATTTATGTCCTTCTCCTCTATTGATATGGCTAAGCAAGCTCACCAAATTTTCAGTTCTTTAACTGTGGAAGGTCAACCGTTCAAAGCTAACTTCGCTAAAGACCAACAGCCTCGTAAGTATTGATTGTCAGTAGTCGTTTAACTGGCATCCTTTAGGAGCTGGTCCTGATGGGTCCGTAAGAGTCGCAGTTTCAAATTGGGATGGTCATCCGAACCAGTTGCGTAAGCTATTCCCGACATGTTTAGACGTTCAGTGGATTCAGAAAAAACGGTGAGTAAAGTTAGTTTTCGGCGAATTGGTTCAAACGTTTCGTAAACTAGTCACTCACTTAAGTTATTTAGCGTCAGTTACTATCGGTCTTACATTTTCTTCTTCATACAGAAAGGCATTTCTTAAATTTCCTTCCTTGGAAGTCCGAAAGGCTGCTGTCTCACAGCCAAAGTTCCATGCCGGTAAACAGCTGAAACTGGCATTAACAGGGGGACCAGAGCTCAAGACTGCCATCGTTTGGGGTTTTCCAGCTGATACAAAGGAATCAGACATCAAAGGATTATTTGGTGGCGTCGTTTCAGTGTCACGTGATACAACTACAGGGAACCAGAGCGCGTAAGTATATTGATATCTTGATAGTTGCCTTTGAAACTAAATTGTTACTGCCTTTATCTCAGTTTGATTAGATCAGTTTGTCCGTAACGTCTGACAGTGTATTGCCTTGTTTCAGATCCATGACTGTCGAGTTTGAAACCGCTGCAGATTGTAACAATGCAATTTCCTCAAACGCAACTCTGAAAGGTCGCCGCGTGACAATATTTTTAAAAGGTATGTAGAATGATAATTGAAATTTCACCTCGAAAGTTTTTATTTGCTCACATTACATGTCATCCAGACACCAACTTACTAGGATTTTTGCTTCAATCTTTCGAGTTTTTGCCTCACTAAACTAACCCGTATTTCTCCTTCAGATGTCTTTGTTGATGATTGTGCTAACAATCAACAGAAGCATCCTGGACCATCTGAGAAGAAAGCTAAACGTGAGTTTGTTTCGGTTTGTTTTGTATGTTTGTTCGCAATTGTGCTGTCTTTCTAAAGGTTTTTGGTGTTCATTATAGCTGTAGAAGTAGGTGTTTCGAAGGTCAAGACTGCTCACAAAGTTTCAAAGGCAGAGGAAGTGAATGACGCAGATGACATTGAGGATGAGAATGACGACGAAGAGGACGAAGGTACAAGTGAAGATGGCGACGACAGTGACGAAGACGATGAAAGTGAAGATGAAAGCGAGGAAGAAGAGGACGGAAGTGAAGACGAAAGTGACGAGGACGTTGATATGGTCTCACCTAAAGGCAAGGAGAAGAAGCAGTTTCCTGGCTTACACGACAAAAAAACTGGTGGATTTCCGAAAGCAGACAACCGTTCAGGAGATCAAAGCAACTTCAAAGCGCAGCACAAATTTGGTGGTGATTTCAAGCGCAACTCGTTTCGTGGTCGTGGTGGTCGATCTCGCGGCCGCGGTGGTCAGTCGCCTCACGGTCGTGGTGGACAGTCTTTCCGTGGTCGTGGTGGTAACCGTGGGGGCTGGTCAAAACGCGGTGGTTCTGATTAAAAAACTTGATTGCTCTGTAAATCCAAATTGCAAATAAATCTTTGTAAATGAATCTGATTTCTCTGACAGTTTGTTTTCCGTCCTTGATGAGTACTTCTGTTTTTAGTTAAAAAGCATGTCACTGACACAAGCATACCAGTCTGGTCAAGCCACTTCTTTGGCCGTATACAATCTACCCACCTCGGCAGACGAAACAGAAGTTCAGTCGGTATTCCCTTCGGCCAGGTCAGTCAACTTCGTACGAAGTCATTCTGTGTCTTCGCAATCTAAAGGGTGAGTACAGTTTGCTCCCTACAAATTGATTTGTTACCGCACATTTAACGACATTATAAGAGATCTAATTCACTCCGTTTTATGAGCAGTACCACAGTAGGTTCGACAGTCTGCGATATTTTTGTTTGGCAAGTTAAATGTCCAAAGGTGAACCTAGGCATTTTAATGATGTTCCGTTAGTACGTTAACAAGAACTGACTCCGATCTTTTACCTTTCTACCTTTTGTTACTGGCGACGCAGGTGTGCCACATTGACCCATTCCTGTAATGTGAGCAGGTGGTACTATTTGCGATGGAGTGAAATGCAGGAAGGTCGACCCGAACACTTTCGATGGAGGTAGAAATTTGTTACTCGAAAGATCTGCCTACGGGGTCTTTAGTAAAGCTTATTCGCTTCCCATTGATCGCTCCATATTTGCTCTCTTTTTCTGTTTCATATGTGAAACAGCATGTGCATCTTGCAATTCAACAATGCTCGCGACTGTCAACAAGCCTACGATGAATGTCTTCAAGGAAAAGAAATTGGTGGACAGCTGCTGCATGCGGAACTGAACGGAGGTGAGTTGGTCATTAAAACTCGTACAATCACTGGACTTATTTCAAAAGCTCTTTAATAATCACTCAGTTTATATATTTCAGATTATCATTCCAGTTCGTCAGAAAATTTAAATGTCAGCCAGCATTATGGAGGCAATTCCAGGGATTTCAGACGTTCACATGCCGATAATGAGTACAGCCAGCCCACGTATGATCCGCATAGTAGAACTGATAGTGAGAGTTCTTCCAACGCCTCTTGTACACTCACCGTGTCAAATCTTCCCTATACAGCATCTGAAAGAGATATTATGCGCGAGTTCCCAGAAGCCCTCCGAGTGGCACTTTCGTTAGACGAGCAGGGACGTTCCAGAGGGTAAATTTTATTTTTGAACTTTCATTTGTTTGTAGCGTTGCTCACGTGACTTTCTCGAATTCCGACCAGTGCAGCGCCGCTCTTACTTCCTGCGGAAATAAGATGATGGGCGGTAGGCCTGTACGTGGACGAATCCAGAGAGGTAAAGGATTGCCCATAAATTGTATGTGATGTTCATTATAGACCAGGAGCACAATCAACAACCGAGTTATAACAATCAGCGCCCTTATAATCGTGACCAAAGAGAATACGGTCAACGTAATCAACGCGACTACAATCAGCGGAATTTCAATAATCGAGATCACACCAACCAGCGTGAAAACGGTAACCAGAGAGATGGCAATCAACGTGAGTACAATCAGCGTGATTATAGTGGTCAACGTGACTACAACAGACAAGGTAAGTTTATTTTGTCAGGCAACTAACTGGTTTAGTTGTTTCAGTGTGACAGGCAGTGTAACTATTTTCTTTTTGTGGTTTCAGGTAGGCAGTTCGACTACAATTCAGGCAGAGGCGAAAGAGATGTAAACCGTTTCCAAGGTGCTCCAGCTAATCGAGGCGGGTCACGCGAGTTTGGTAGAAATGACCGCTTCGAACGAACAGATCAAAGACGAGATCGCAGCCCAGCCAGAGGAGAGCCAGTTCGTGGGTACGGCAGCTCAAAAGGACCCCGAATAACATCAGCCGTAATTCACCGTCCAGGAAATGCCAGCCCTTCGGAGTCGTCCTCTTCAGATGAGGACTAAATATCCTGGTATTTTTCAGGGATTCCTTACTGATGCGTCGTGCAAATACTTTTATTAACGTACATATGACTTTAAACATTAAAATATTCATGTTGGAAATTCATTAATGTTGTAGTCTAATATACACTTCACTTCATACGCGGTTTTTTACAGAACACAGTGAGGTAAAGTAGCGGGACAGAGTTGAGGTCATGCTGGAATAAGTCGATTCCAACCATATATATATATATATATATATATATATATATGGAAGAAGGGTTGGGTATTAGTGTCTTAACCAGGCTTCGCTTATAAAACGTAATTTTTTTTAGTCAGGACTTTCGAGATGGTGACTGACCTGAAGCTCATTTTGTCGGGTACTGGTTCCTCTCGAGCAACTCATCGAATGCTAATAAGGCAACAATGTTATAATTAGTGGTTGGAAATTGTCCGTCTACTTACTGTGATAATGATAATTAATTACCTCTAAATTACAGGTGATATGGCTCGGGAGTCAGGCAAATTAGTGCATCTGTCCTATTTTTGAGTTATTCAGAATGTCACCCAGGGTCGCCACTAATACACAATTAGGGTACCTAGATGTCGTGTCAGATGAACCGAAATAAACGCAAAGTCATGGCGCATGTTCTCCCACAAGGCATGTACGCGATGTCTATGTTTTGCCGACCGACCTTCATAGGGAAGATAGAGTTCGCAAGTAGTATAGTGTTCCAAGAGTTCCGATCACACATGTGACTAACCGATAGATATGAGAGTGCTTCAAATCGCTGACCTGGTTTGCCGTACGTCGGTACTGCGGTATAAGCAGGTCTTTTGGATGCTAATGAAATTTGGGCTGTGGTTTTCTGAGAGAAGATTATGAGCCTAGTGATGCTCTTCACTCCCTAAGAGAATAGCCCCACATTTGTGGTTAAGGGGATAGTGAGTTAGTGTTAGAACGTACGATTTTCCGGCTTTATATACTATAAAATGCTCTTATCTCAACATCGGCTACCTTCGATTCCGCAGGACTTAGGATTTGGTGGAATTATCCCACTACAGGCCTGAGTCGGCAGTTCACTGTTTCCTCTATCCCTTTGAAAAAGGATAGACTGGATAGGAATCCAAGAAGATGTTGAAGTCGCGTCAATTTCCGAAAAATTAGCACGACATTTATCATATAGGCTTCGGGAGAATAGTAAGTTCTCCCACAATAGCACAAACTTTGGTCTCCGGCAGAATCGAGTGCAATACCAATTACTAGAGGTCCACAACCACGGGGTCCTCGTTGTCTTTTTATGGACGCCCTGTTACCAGGCCCTCGGCGAAAGGAGTTGACAACGCACACTGTATCCATACAACAACAACAACAGCGAGAGATGCCTTCATTCAATCAACAACAAACTGAATGTACGACACTCGGTAGAATTAGCTGATGTCCTGTCATCTTTTACGCTAACCATTTGACCTGGCTGAATGTGTAGTATATTTGTTGGTGAACGATAATATCCTTACAGGAAGTAATTCGGTGTAAGCCCGCATGTTTCATCCCTGGTTTTTTGTAGTCCTCAGTTGATTACTAACATATGCTGTTAAAAGCTCAATGAATAGTTTTAATGTGTTACGTGTTTAAGCGTGTGTTTCACATTCAACGTCCGGTGGTTAGTTGAACATGGTGAGTGGGATGGGGCTCATGGGTGCTTATGTGTGATCCCGTTGTTCTCATGACTAACGCACGTTTTTTTTATCTTTCAGGGTCGTTCGAAGCAGTTGTGTAAGTAATACTCTTTGGTTTACGTCCCATTTTCTGTTTTCGAATTTACTTACCAGATTGTTTGGTTTTAGTAAATAATTCAACAATTAAATCTCCAAAGCCTAGTGCTACTCCGGAATCAAAAAACAAGCATCTTGTCAACGGCAAAGGCACTCCATTGAGAGGTGGATCAAAGCGTCCAGTCCCTGTCGGCAGCGACGATAGTGATGTAGAGGTTGAGACTGGTGCGTTTGGCGGTGATGCTGGTGAACTAAGGATGTCACATAAGGTAAATAAGCTAATATCTTCACTCCATATAGCCCGAGTTGTTTTTGTCTTGTTACGCACCAGAAGTTTGCTCGGTATGTAAGGATATTCTCATAAAGTCTCGATTGTCTGCTAGCCTTAGAGTCTATTGATTACACAGTACTGTGTTTATAGTCCGATTCCATATAGGTTGTGCTTGTCACTACCTTTCATGATCTTTTTGTGGGAAGCCTAGTCAGACTTTGTGAGTTGTGGGTTACTCTTATATTCGACCAGTGACATGTACTTAGCGTGTATAAACACATTTATGACAGTGGGCGTTCACATGGTTACAAGCTCAAACAATGATCAACGTTTACCTTGAGTTTTGTTATTTGTACTTATGGTCTTCCTACTTCGTGATGAATGACTATCAAGTTTCCTGTTTAGTGTAGCTGAACCGGGACTGATAGTTGGGTGAAGATGTGAATTAGTTTTTACTTATATATATGGAGAGGATGGTGTTCTATCTGAGCCTCAAGTTCCAATCTCATGCATATCGGGTTCTATATTAGACTTTCTAGTAATTAATACTAGTTTATTTTCTTACCTAACTTAATATGGTAATGCACAAGCCAGATAGTTCATGTAAGCCGGCAGCAGTCGAATCGTCCTACCACAAAACAGATCAGTTCGAAATCTCGACTAGTTTATTGGGGCACAGATTTGCCACAAGCGAAATCAACTAATTTTTAAAAGCTTCAGAGTATATAAGTCTTATAACCTGATCAAACGATTTTTGTTCCAAACAAATTCATAGAAACTGAAGCTGGCGACTGAAAAGGGGATGGAACTGCAGAAAAAAGGTCTTGTCAGTGAAGATGAAGAGGATGATGAAGAAGAAAATGATAGTGCGGAAGAAGAGGAGGAGGAGGACGAAGAGAATGGAGATGATGACGATGACGAAAGCGAAGAGGAAGATGACGACGACGATAGTGAGGAAGAGGATGATGACGACGATTGTGAGGAGGAAGACGACGACGATAATGAGGAAGAATCTAGTGAAGGAGAGGAAGAAAGTAATAAAGACAATTCAAAACTGAATGCTGAGAAAGGTAAAGCCATCAACAACCTGGTTGGGTCAAAGGCTGTCCAAAAACCTGGTTCGATGTTGAACAATGAGAAATTGACGGAAAATAAGGTATCAAGCATACCGAGTAAAGTGACTGAGGGGTCTGAGCCACAAAGCAGTACATCAGGCAAGGTCCTCATACTACATGGACCTGATAACTTGAATAGTTTGAAAGAATTCCTTTCCAAAATTAGCCCAGTGACCAGCATAAGCAGGATGGAACCAGCACCCATAATGGCTACCATCGCTAATATAAGCATTTTCAAAAGTCGATTAAAGTCAGGAAAGTTGATGTTTCACGGGAAGGAGCTCGAAGTAATACCTGTAGAGAGAGTCAAGGACGCCAATAAAGGAATGCAACCCACCAAAACTTTGTTCGTAGGTGGAATTCCAAAATCCATGACAATTGTAAGTTACTTCTTTCTAAACATTGTATTATTCCAGGAACAACTAAAAAGTCAACTCCCCAACAACTGTCAACCTGTTTCCCTAAATTTGCTGAATAAAAACCCTAAAATCAATAGTGCATTTATGTCCTTCTCCTCTATTGATATGGCTAAGCAAGCTCACCAAATTTTCAGTTCTTTAACTGTGGAAGGTCAACCGTTCAAAGCTAACTTCGCTAAAGACCAACAGCCTCGTAAGTATTGATTGTCAGTAGTCGTTTAACTGGCATCCTTTAGGAGCTGGTCCTGATGGGTCCGTAAGAGTCGCAGTTTCAAATTGGGATGGTCATCCGAACCAGTTGCGTAAGCTATTCCCGACATGTTTAGACGTTCAGTGGATTCAGAAAAAACGGTGAGTAAAGTTAGTTTTCGGCGAATTGGTTCAAACGTTTCGTAAACTAGTCACTCACTTAAGTTATTTAGCGTCAGTTACTATCGGTCTTACATTTTCTTCTTCATACAGAAAGGCATTTCTTAAATTTCCTTCCTTGGAAGTCCGAAAGGCTGCTGTCTCACAGCCAAAGTTCCATGCCGGTAAACAGCTGAAACTGGCATTAACAGGGGGACCAGAGCTCAAGACTGCCATCGTTTGGGGTTTTCCAGCTGATACAAAGGAATCAGACATCAAAGGATTATTTGGTGGCGTCGTTTCAGTGTCACGTGATACAACTACAGGGAACCAGAGCGCGTAAGTATATTGATATCTTGATAGTTGCCTTTGAAACTAAATTGTTACTGCCTTTATCTCAGTTTGATTAGATCAGTTTGTCCGTAACGTCTGACAGTGTATTGCCTTGTTTCAGATCCATGACTGTCGAGTTTGAAACCGCTGCAGATTGTAACAATGCAATTTCCTCAAACGCAACTCTGAAAGGTCGCCGCGTGACAATATTTTTAAAAGGTATGTAGAATGATAATTGAAATTTCACCTCGAAAGTTTTTATTTGCTCACATTACATGTCATCCAGACACCAACTTACTAGGATTTTTGCTTCAATCTTTCGAGTTTTTGCCTCACTAAACTAACCCGTATTTCTCCTTCAGATGTCTTTGTTGATGATTGTGCTAACAATCAACAGAAGCATCCTGGACCATCTGAGAAGAAAGCTAAACGTGAGTTTGTTTCGGTTTGTTTTGTATGTTTGTTCGCAATTGTGCTGTCTTTCTAAAGGTTTTTGGTGTTCATTATAGCTGTAGAAGTAGGTGTTTCGAAGGTCAAGACTGCTCACAAAGTTTCAAAGGCAGAGGAAGTGAATGACGCAGATGACATTGAGGATGAGAATGACGACGAAGAGGACGAAGGTACAAGTGAAGATGGCGACGACAGTGACGAAGACGATGAAAGTGAAGATGAAAGCGAGGAAGAAGAGGACGGAAGTGAAGACGAAAGTGACGAGGACGTTGATATGGTCTCACCTAAAGGCAAGGAGAAGAAGCAGTTTCCTGGCTTACACGACAAAAAACTGGTGGATTTCCGAAAGCAGACAACCGTTCAGGAGATCAAAGCAACTTCAAAGCGCAGCACAAATTTGGTGGTGATTTCAAGCGCAACTCGTTTCGTGGTCGTGGTGGTCGATCTCGCGGCCGCGGTGGTCAGTCGCCTCACGGTCGTGGTGGACAGTCTTTCCGTGGTCGTGGTGGTAACCGTGGGGGCTGGTCAAAACGCGGTGGTTCTGATTAAAAAACTTGATTGCTCTGTAAATCCAAATTGCAAATAAATCTTTGTAAATGAATCTGATTTCTCTGACAGTTTGTTTTCCGTCCTTGATGAGTACTTCTGTTTTTAGTTAAAAAGCATGTCACTGACACAAGCATACCAGTCTGGTCAAGCCACTTCTTTGGCCGTATACAATCTACCCACCTCGGCAGACGAAACAGAAGTTCAGTCGGTATTCCCTTCGGCCAGGTCAGTCAACTTCGTACGAAGTCATTCTGTGTCTTCGCAATCTAAAGGGTGAGTACAGTTTGCTCCCTACAAATTGATTTGTTACCGCACATTTAACGACATTATAAGAGATCTAATTCACTCCGTTTTATGAGCAGTACCACAGTAGGTTCGACAGTCTGCGATATTTTTGTTTGGCAAGTTAAATGTCCAAAGGTGAACCTAGGCATTTTAATGATGTTCCGTTAGTACGTTAACAAGAACTGACTCCGATCTTTTACCTTTCTACCTTTTGTTACTGGCGACGCAGGTGTGCCACATTGACCCATTCCTGTAATGTGAGCAGGTGGTACTATTTGCGATGGAGTGAAATGCAGGAAGGTCGACCCGAACACTTTCGATGGAGGTAGAAATTTGTTACTCGAAAGATCTGCCTACGGGGTCTTTAGTAAAGCTTATTCGCTTCCCATTGATCGCTCCATATTTGCTCTCTTTTTCTGTTTCATATGTGAAACAGCATGTGCATCTTGCAATTCAACAATGCTCGCGACTGTCAACAAGCCTACGATGAATGTCTTCAAGGAAAAGAAATTGGTGGACAGCTGCTGCATGCGGAACTGAACGGAGGTGAGTTGGTCATTAAAACTCGTACAATCACTGGACTTATTTCAAAAGCTCTTTAATAATCACTCAGTTTATATATTTCAGATTATCATTCCAGTTCGTCAGAAAATTTAAATGTCAGCCAGCATTATGGAGGCAATTCCAGGGATTTCAGACGTTCACATGCCGATAATGAGTACAGCCAGCCCACGTATGATCCGCATAGTAGAACTGATAGTGAGAGTTCTTCCAACGCCTCTTGTACACTCACCGTGTCAAATCTTCCCTATACAGCATCTGAAAGAGATATTATGCGCGAGTTCCCAGAAGCCCTCCGAGTGGCACTTTCGTTAGACGAGCAGGGACGTTCCAGAGGGTAAATTTTATTTTTGAACTTTCATTTGTTTGTAGCGTTGCTCACGTGACTTTCTCGAATTCCGACCAGTGCAGCGCCGCTCTTACTTCCTGCGGAAATAAGATGATGGGCGGTAGGCCTGTACGTGGACGAATCCAGAGAGGTAAAGGATTGCCCATAAATTGTATGTGATGTTCATTATAGACCAGGAGCACAATCAACAACCGAGTTATAACAATCAGCGCCCTTATAATCGTGACCAAAGAGAATACGGTCAACGTAATCAACGCGACTACAATCAGCGGAATTTCAATAATCGAGATCACACCAACCAGCGTGAAAACGGTAACCAGAGAGATGGCAATCAACGTGAGTACAATCAGCGTGATTATAGTGGTCAACGTGACTACAACAGACAAGGTAAGTTTATTTTGTCAGGCAACTAACTGGTTTAGTTGTTTCAGTGTGACAGGCAGTGTAACTATTTTCTTTTTGTGGTTTCAGGTAGGCAGTTCGACTACAATTCAGGCAGAGGCGAAAGAGATGTAAACCGTTTCCAAGGTGCTCCAGCTAATCGAGGCGGGTCACGCGAGTTTGGTAGAAATGACCGCTTCGAACGAACAGATCAAAGACGAGATCGCAGCCCAGCCAGAGGAGAGCCAGTTCGTGGGTACGGCAGCTCAAAAGGACCCCGAATAACATCAGCCGTAATTCACCGTCCAGGAAATGCCAGCCCTTCGGAGTCGTCCTCTTCAGATGAGGACTAAATATCCTGGTATTTTTCAGGGATTCCTTACTGATGCGTCGTGCAAATACTTTTATTAACGTACATATGACTTTAAACATTAAAATATTCATGTTGGAAATTCATTAATGTTGTAGTCTAATATACACTTCACTTCATACGCGGTTTTTTACAGAACACAGTGAGGTAAAGTAGCGGGACAGAGTTGAGGTCATGCTGGAATAAGTCGATTCCAACCATATATATATATATATATATATATATATATATATATATATATATATATATATATATATATATATATATATATATATATATATATATCTATATGGAAGAAGGGTTGGGTATTAGTGTCTTAACCAGGCTTCGCTTATAAAACGTAATTTTTTTTAGTCAGGACTTTCGAGATGGTGACTGACCTGAAGCTCATTTTGTCGGGTACTGGTTCCTCTCGAGCAACTCATCGAATGCTAATAAGGCAACAATGTTATAATTAGTGGTTGGAAATTGTCCGTCTACTTACTGTGATAATGATAATTAATTACCTCTAAATTACAGGTGATATGGCTCGGGAGTCAGGCAAATTAGTGCATCTGTCCTATTTTTGAGTTATTCAGAATGTCACCCAGGGTCGCCACTAATACACAATTAGGGTACCTAGATGTCGTGTCAGATGAACCGAAATAAACGCAAAGTCATGGCGCATGTTCTCCCACAAGGCATGTACGCGGTGTCTATGTTTTGCCGACCGACCTTCATAGGGAAGATAGAGTTCGCAAGTAGTATAGTGTTCCAAGAGTTCCGATCACACATGTGACTAACCGATAGATATGAGAGTGCTTCAAATCGCTGACCTGGTTTGCCGTACGTCGGTACTGCGGTATAAGCAGGTCTTTTGGATGCTAATGAAATTTGGGCTGTGGTTTTCTGAGAGAAGATTATGAGCCTAGTGATGCTCTTCACTCCCTAAGAGAATAGCCCCACATTTGTGGTTAAGGGGATAGTGAGTTAGTGTTAGAACGTACGATTTTCCGGCTTTATATATTATAAAATGCTCTTATCTCAACATCGGCTACCTTCGATTCCGCAGGACTTAGGATTTGGTGGAATTATCCCACTACAGGCCTGAGTCGGCAGTTCACTGTTTCCTCTATCCCTTTGAAAAAGGATAGACTGGATAGGAATCCAAGAAGATGTTGAAGTCGCGTCAATTTCCGAAAAATTAGCACGACATTTATCATATAGGCTTCGGGAGAATAGTAAGTTCTCCCACAATAGCACAAACTTTGGTCTCCGGCAGAATCGAGTGCAATACCAATTACTAGAGGTCCACAACCACGGGGTCCTCGTTGTCTTTTTATGGACGCCCTGTTACCAGGCCCTCGGCGAAAGGAGTTGACAACGCACACTGTATCCATACAACAACAACAACAGCGAGAGATGCCTTCATTCAATCAACAACAAACTGAATGTACGACACTCGGTAGAATTAGCTGATGTCCTGTCATCTTTTACGCTAACCATTTGACCTGGCTGAATGTGTAGTATATTTGTTGGTGAACGATAATATCCTTACAGGAAGCAATTCGGTGTAAGCCCGCATGTTTCATCCCTGGTTTTTTGTAGTCCTCAGTTGATTACTAACATATGCTGTTAAAAGCTCAATGAATAGTTTTAATGTGTTACGTGTTTAAGCGTGTGTTTCACATTCAACGTCCGGTGGTTAGTTGAACATGGTGAGTGGGATGGGGCTCATGGGTGCTTATGTGTGATCCCGTTGTTCTCATGACTAACGCACGTTTTTTTTATCTTTCAGGGTCATTCGACTTAGTACTTTTAGAGAAACATTTTGGTTTTCATACAGTTGTCTGAAAAGTTTTACTAGTGATTATGAATTTCACAAACATAAGTGATTCCTAGTGTTCACGAGGTTAGCGCTAGACTTTTTACTTGGTTCAAAGCGTTTCGTGACTTCAGCGACCTTGATCACTTCTAATCGTAAACAGTTACTGACTGATCGGTTTGTTAACTATTACAATGATTATCTCTTATTGCAGCTAAGCCATTCCGCTTGAAGTTTCTAAAATTAGTCTTGTCGTATAAACAAGATTTGTGGAGTTTCGTTGATTCACAAACCTTTTGAAAAGTTAATTTTTTTTTGAATCACTGTTTGTTAATCAGCAAATACGTTACTATTATTAGTTTTTTGTCGTATTAGGTTTGCTTCAGATTACGAAGAAGGAGCGTCTTTTCTTTTAATAGGGTTTAGTAAAATGTTTTGTTGGTCATCTATTTTGAGACTCACGGTTATTTAGATGCTCAAGGTTTTTAAGCGGAAGGTCATTGCGCTCACAGCTGAACAACGTTGTTGCATAATATGGTTTCTTAGGTTATGTTTACGAGAATATCTCTGACTTGTACTAAGTAGACATATGCCTCATTTGAACAAATTTACTGTTTGCCATAATAAGTTTAGACATTGCTTGTTCCGCTCATTATTTCAGTTTCAGCTAGAGGGTGGGGACTTAAGACACTTTCTACAGAACATTTGACTAATACAGCTTTTCTTTAGTCACTAAGGCATTCCGTCTTCATTTGTAAGAAGCTAAAACAGAGTTTGGTGGGTTCTCTGATCGAACGATTGACTACAATCGGGTTATATATATATATATATATATATATATATATATATATAATTAACAAGCACATGTGACTTCATGATGTGGGGATTCGGTTGCATATAGTTCGTTCGCCTTATTCCAAACCCTATATCGAGCACTACACCCAAAGGTCTTTTTTTTTAACTGAGTACGTTGAGTCATGCCTATTTTTATCATGGGCTCAAATCATGATAACGGATTAGATACACAAAAGTTAACAATTTAAATTGGTTAAAGAAAAACATGACAATTGTTTGAACACAGGTATAAACGCACGTCATTGAAGTTATTATTGTCAAAAGTTTTTTTGTGAAATATCAAAAGGATCGATAGACCGAGAGAAAAAGCCAAAATAAATATAGTTAACTTGAGTCCTACAACTATCCATATCAGAACACCATAATGGTGATAGCATTTATGCAAAGAACATTTACTGCATAAGATCAAATATGAACAATGGAAAAGCGAACTGTTCCAGCAAATCATTTGCCAGCACACAGTTGTCAAAAGAGGTTTATGTTAGACTGAAACATAATAATAATAATAAATCGTATTGATGATAATATTTGTGTGTAATTCTGTTTTTGGCCGCTGTTGTATGGATAGTGCACTGAATACAGTCAAAAGAAAATCCAAAATCTGTCATTGTTCATCTAGATCGAGTATTGATTCATCTACCGGGAGATAATGAAAGGTAAACAAAGAAATAATAGATAGTAAATTTGCATACAACATTGTTAGTACACATATACGCTAAAATAAGGAAAAAATAAGGCAAAGCTCGATTAACTACTATTTCTTCTTCATTTTAGCACGAAATTCATCCAAACTTATATTGTCTCATTCGAAATTCGCTCCAAATCGTCCGAGAGATAAAATACTCGTAGCGGTCCATTAATCTTCAGTCATGTTTTATTTAAATTAATTGGCAAGGTTCTGTCTTCTGACAACCCAAACTCGATTCAAGATCCAAAAGCTGTTCCGTTTTTAAAATCTATATTAAACAAATACCTAAGACTAAAAAGAATGGTAACCAGTGAGATAAACCTGTGTATATGGAGAACAGGAAACATATTCGAAAAATTCATTACCATCAAAGAATGAATTACTGTACTGGTGCTCTATATCCTGATTTTAAATACTCCAGTTAGTGATGCACATATTAACTTTTCATTCCGCTATGAACTGATAGTAACTAGGACTCATTTAAAGCAAAAGCACTGCACATCTGATTCGTCTTAGTCTAAGACCCTTTGACTATATACCTATGACGTCACAACGGGAGTCGAACCTCACATCAAGAGGATTGTCATCTTTAGATTATTGACTCGAAACCCAACGGTTCACAATCAAAATCAATTTGCGAGGTGTATATAATTATGTAAACAAATATATGTGAGAAATCGAAATACCAGCTTACTCAACCATTACTTTTTCACTTATATGATTATTTCAAGTATCGCCTTGATCATAAATATTATTATTAGCACCATTGTCTAATTGACTTGGCTGTTCATTTTTACTGACTGATCTACCGAGACCTTCATCAGATTTTCCCGGTGAATGACGAATCTGTATTTCATTAATTGTACGACTATTTGAATCGGTTCGGAGTGATTGTGCTTCATCTACTGGACTAGCAAACTGTTGATTGATAATCGGTAAATTATTCGTAGATTGTTTATTTCTGATACAAGCATTATTGTTATGATTATTAACTGAGATTGCTTTAGCCACAGCTTCTGCTTCGGTCTGTAAACGACTGATTCTGTGACACAGCATAGCTAAACTTAGATCTGTTGGTTCTGTTATCAATTGATGAGTTTCAGTTAGATAATCATTGCCTAAAATATTTGATTCTTTGTTGTGAACTAGAAATAAAGAAAAAAATTAATTATGTAAATTTAAAGATTATATATATAATGTGGACGCATTTACTGTTATAATTCTAAAAAATGAATTGGTTGGTTGTGAAGATCAGTTCAGTTTTGAGATAGTTTTTATCACAAACTGAAAATTATAAAGTAATGGATAGTTGTTTCAACAATGCACATATACGAACCTGCGGGGAATCGAATTGCGGACCCTCCAGTACTTTGGCAAAAGTAATACCTTTAGGTCAGTGGGTTACAGTCAAATGGTTCATATTTCTAACTCTATTCAGTATCTGATAGATTGCAACAACATTCGATGAAAACTATCTTACAAAACTCATGGATGAAATTCACCAATCACGACTTTCCACAAGAACCGTCCTAAAGGCATCGTGTTCGTTGAGAAACATAAAGTTTTTGACCTGACTGGATATGGGGTAGTAGAAGCCTACTGATGTAGAGTCCCTTAACTAGTATAAAAAATAGGTATTCAGACGACCCTAGATTTCAATGGTTCTCCAGATACCTAATGAAAATCGCCGTCGAACCGAAAAAAATAATTTGTATAAATCTTATTTTTGTGATGATAAATATTTAAAAAGTTTCACTGAAACTAATACCACTCAAATAGTGAGTTCTACTCACATTTGAAATCCTATTTTACTTACAATATAGCATAATCGCTAAATTGCATTATCAATAAACAGCTAGTCGATTTTCTACTTCGTTGACTTTGAGAAATACATATAAAAGCTCGTAGACAGTGAAACAATTATTATTTAAAATTTGAAAAATTCCCATATTGTAATTTGGAAACAACAATATATAAGCGAATAATATTGATTTCGATTAGATCCTCATCATTATTTATTGCATAAATACAGAGAACAATTATTTGATCATAAAATATAAATGATTGACAATTCTGTTTTTTTTTAATACATTTAAACTGATAGAAGTAAACGGATAAAATGACTAAACCATCGCAGTTTTACTACTGCTAGGAAAACACTTTCATGATCAAAAGTGATTTAAACGAATACAGAACCTTTGCGAAAAAAAGTCGTCCTATTAGACGACTAACAGAATGATGCTTTTCAGAGGGGTTATTGAAGGAAGAAAATAAAGCCCATTATCACTCAGAAATTTACCAGTTACATTCATCTGGTGCCCGTCGTTTCAATTATATGATAAATCATAACTGAATCATCCTGTTGTATTTTACACTGTCTAACATGATGAGCAAGAAATAAAACCACCAATCAGGTCTTAATTCACTAAAGAGTAAGAGAGGAGTGTTCAGTCATTTAAGTAGAAGTATATTATTTCGCTAGGTGAAGAAAACCTATACTTCTGGTGAGTGGTCTTGTCGTTGATGTTAGTTCATTTGTTGGCTTGAGTCGATAATCCAGTGCTGTAAACAGACATAACCCAGCTAATTTGTATCATTATGTTCACCTATCGATCAATATTGTATTCATTTCACTTTAATAATTCTACACTCGTTCAGCATTCATCATAATTCCGAACTAAAAAACACTTTAATCTACTTCGATAAAGTACTTAGATTAGTAAACAGAAATTGTGTAGATAGAAAGCGTATAACGCACAATATACCTGCAAGACCAATTGGCTGGGATGGAAGAGAACTGACATCTGAATGATTTGGTACAACTTCACCTGAGCTCATAGTATCTAAATCAGATCTATTTTTTCAGCAAAAAAGAGATTGACAAAATAAACAAGTGTATCGAAATTAACATAAATTGACCAAATAAATCGAACGAAATCAACGGTAAGAATGATTAATACCAAGTGTACACATCAATCGTTACATTTAACAATTCAAAAAGTTAGAGGGCAAATACCTAAAACAAATTTATGGGAATTAAACATAAACCAGTTCTACTGGACGAAAACATGTAACGTGTATACTTCCTGATAAGGTTTTATGATATAATCGCATACCAAGGTCAAAAATCTTAGGTAACATTACATTTCATTAAATCAGACTTGTCGATACTCCCCTATTACTTCTACTGTTTCGAATTTCAGTATTAAATTCGTCTGTCGCTCTGCTGCTGTGGAGTGTGGCAGCTCTAATCAATGTACATTTAAGTCAAATCATACACAATATGTTTTGCATGAACTGTATTCGCAAGATTTAAATACTACATTTGCAAATTTATATGATAATAAACTATGTATCACAAATTCGAGAGTTAATTCCTGAAGTTTTAATGAAAAGCTGTGACTAGTGGAATCTAAACATATCGGACATGAGGCAAAACCCATTAATAGCATTGAAAGAGGGTGCATAATGTCGTGAATAGATTAAAGTTAGACACTTACGCCATCGCATGCCAAATCATTGGTTTAAAGGCTAAGCGCTCGTTGTGAGATCTGGAGATTTTCGGTTCGATCTGTGAGATTGTGGATGCGCATTGTCTAGGAGTCTTACACTAGGATGAAACAGCTGTCCAGTGATTCCCAATTTTAAACAATAGTCTAAGATTAGTTGGAAATATAAACTATATTACAAATTCATAGACGACAGTATAGAATCCCGTGCAAATAAATACAGATATAAGTTGGTATATTAGCACAATGAGAACAAATGAATATAATGAGACTAGAATGATAATATCAACTACAACAGGAAGCTAAATGTAAGAACTTTATTCCCAAAAGAACCAATAACGTAGGAGAATCAAAAGTAAGAAATAAAATCAAGTCAAATGTTTAGAGAAAAATAAAACAGAATGAATCCAACTGAGTTGTTATGACTGAGTTTGGGTCATATCAAACCACGTACTCAATCATGAAATTTTGACTGTTGTTCATACCAAAGAAATTCGCAATTACCTAAACTGAGTCAAATAATCAATCAGTTCATATACCAATCCTATTTATTTGTTTGGGTTTCTTTCAACCTATTAATCCCATGCTACAGACGCTTGGAAACAATTGCTATCATAGTAGATGAAAAGTTTAGGATTAACAAACATAATAAAATCTAATGAATGCTAGTAATCAACGTTTAACCTAAAGGACGACCTTTTTTACTCTTCTCTATTAAGAATAACTCATCATTTGTGGATCCTAAACACTATCTGAAACCCTTTGGGGTTAATTTCAGTCACAAGCCCATGCAAAGGAGGGTTTAGCATAAAGTTATCAGCCCCACCTCAGAAAGAGAAACTCTGTCACAGAAATGCTAAACAAAGAAAAACAATCAAACTAAGTTCAATGAATCGAAGATCTTCATGAGAAAGAGTTATCATACATTATGTTCACAAGAACAGAATCTTTACAAGCCGAGAGATCGATGCACTAATGGAAATCAGAACACAACATAGATAAGTGAAACACAAAGTATACAATCTGGACAAGAAACATTACATTTCAAGAGAACTGTTATTGCATTGTGGACACATGGGAGAGAACAAAACACATACACAACGAGTTGCACTGATGCCGTCCAGAAAAACACGAAAAACGCCTATAAGATGAGAGGCCCAAGGCGACAGGATTATCGAAACATCCGCCAAATCAAAAAAAGAAAACATTGCAATGAATATTGCCCATTGATACACACCCATTAATGATGTCAGTGAAGATGATGAAGACCTGTTCTACCAGAGAATACAGTCCATCCCAAAGAAATGTCCAGGAAAAAGCCTAACAATCTTCTCGAAGGACCTGAAACCCCAAAGTCAGAATAGACTATATCGAGTACGAACACATCATAAGGCAAAACGGACTGGAAGAAAGGAATGAGAATTATGAGAGACTGACATATGTATTTATTATGAAGAACATGGTTATAGATTGCACCACTTCCCTTCACAAATCCATGGGATTCACCGGATCACACCAACAGATCGACCACATCTGGATCAACAAAAAAACTAAGGAGGTCCATTGAAAACATAAAAAAAGAAATTGACAAGCAGCACTAATAAATTTTAAAACAATCTTCCATCCAGATGCTAATAAGCTCAGTGATATCGAGATGTATCTGAGTAACAAGTTTTAGGCTTTACAAGATCTACCATAAGAAGAAACTATCATGGAAAAAATCTTGAAAGGGATAAAAGAAGCAATAGCTTTAACATGACCTGTGTAATGCCTCAAGAAGCGTCAATATAAGGAGTGGATATCTGTAGACAGTCTGGGCAATATTCAAGAAAGGATAAACAAAGAAGCAGTTAACTACAGTCGAACGAAAGTCAAGGCATAGCATAGACCAAAACTAGCTAACAAGTAAAGAACACCAAAACTGACAAGCAAAACCATATACAAGACCACGCAACGAGAGCAGAAAAGCTGTACTAGAATGAAATATCAAAGGACGATGTGATACAACCAATAAGCCAGCAGAGAAGTGTAATAAACCAGATCGACCAATCAAGAACAAAGGCAAACCAACCATCGAGAACCAAGAGCAGTGAAACAGGTGAACAGAACACACTGAATAGACCAGCAGCAGTTGGATCAGATGGCATTCCAGACGAGGCACTGGAGTCAAATATAGCAGCAACTGTAAAGATGTTCAGCGTTCTGTTTAGGGAGATTTGGGAGGAAAGAAGGATACCCCATCAAAGAATCGAAGAAAGGAAATCTTGGTGGGTGTGAGAACTACAGGTACAGTTTCAATAGACGTTCAACTTCTAAATCAATAGTATTTCGTAAGGATTGGTCATGTACAGACCTAACCTCAACACTGTGGGTCATTGTTGAGCAATCAACTTAACGAAAATCGTCACTATGTCAACTTCCTTAACTATGGGGGATACACTCTACAGTGTCGATGGGAAAGCCTTTTGAAACCTCCGACAATATGGAGTACCTGGGACAATGGTCACTAACATACGGAATTCATATAAGGGACTGAATTGAGAAGTCCTGCATGGAAGACAGCTCACATATGTATTCCAAATGAAGACTGGGAACAATAAAAGCTGTCTACTTTCATCTTTCCTCTTTCTCTTGGTTGTTGACTGAATTAAGAGACCTCCACATTTTAAGAAAAACACAGTACAGTGGGCAGATGACCTAGCCCTTCTATTCCATATACAGCAGCAAATGCAGGTGAAGACAGTCAGTGTAGAAATAGGTCTATATATTCACAAAGGAAAAAGTGAGACCCTAAAATATGATACAGCGAACATCAACTGAATCGTACTTGATGGCGAAGCTCTTGAAGAGGTGGGAACCTTCATGCAAACAAAATTCAACTGATAAAAAGCATGGGAGGGGAAAGGGAAAGTAATAAAAAATGGTGAACCTACTTTAAAAGTGAATTTATGGCTCCACTCTGATGTTCCAACGATACATGACACAAATTTGGTTTACAATTGTACATTGGTTCATAATTCAATCTGTCACATTCTAAATTATCATGAATGTGTTTAGTTTCAGCAGAGCGTTTAATGCACATATCACGAGAATCAACTTCACCTGATAATATAGATTTACTTGGTGTTGAATCTCCATTACTAGTCAGTGGATGACATGTTTCATTATTTTGAGGGATTGTGTTCATCATTCTCATAGCAGATTTGGATTTTACTGTGACAGTGCGTGGTGAATTGCATACGTGTTTCGGTTGATTAACAAATACTCCATTTTCATGGTTATTTACTAATGAACATGATGATGAATTAAACAATTTCTCATAATTATTATTACTTTTGTTACTATTATCACTGTTATCATCATTATTAGTCTTAAGATTGGAATCCTCCCAAAAACGTCGATTACTCAATACATGTTCACTTACATCACGATCTCCTAAATAAAAAAATAACATGATTCAGAGAAATATAATACAAAGCGGAAACAGATCCATGTTTAAGATATGGATGAGAATGTTGAAATGCATTTAACTGACATTCGCTTGTGAAATGTTACATTTTATTGTAACTAGATTATTTGATTTTATTTCTTACGAGACAATATTGAAGTATTTAAGCAATCAAAATGCATTAGTAACATTGTAAGAATGAACTCATGAGTCAGTTGAAGCTAGACCATGAGTTCAATCTGTGAAAATTTCTAAAAATCTCCACAAAACACATTCTGATAATTGTAAGAATGATTGAAATTTAAAGCAATTGAAAAATGAAGGTAAGAACCAGAGGTAAATAGGCGCTTGTTTAAAAATCCTTTTTTATCATTATTACAAATATATTATTTATTTATCCTTTCTTATCAGTTACGATTCCAGAATGGATTTCATTACTATCTTAACAACGCAAGTAAATAAACCTTGATTTGATATTTATGTTAATGTGACTTAAATTTACGAAATTTATTACAGCGTGGTAACTTAATAAATAAAGTGTTAACATTTCAATCACCCAACTACATGTTTGAACGCTGTCGAACTACTAGTTACAATGATTTTCACGGAGAAAATGTGTAGCAATTAAACGTAAGTTTCGTTCATTTCTAAATGTGATTGATTTATATTAGTGCAATCTAGATGTTGAAATACTTTTCTTTTCAGATATTACATCATTTATTGTCATTTTAAGTCGTCTTTCATAGTAAAATGAATTTATTAAACTTACGTTCAATCCCAAACATAGCAACGTTAATCAATCTGACATGAAACAGCATTTATAAGCTGTAATAGATCTCATTTGTTTTATAATAGAGTAGTTTCCCAAAGACTATAAAATGATTGAAAATATCAGTCAGTCAGTAACAACGTAGAACTTCGTACGTACGTACATCAGTTCGAGTTGTCACACCACATTAGCACAGAGATACAGTTGTCGATTCAAATCCCGTAGTGGTAGAGGTAATAAGAGTATAAGCAGTAATCGGGAAGATTAGGGTTTGGAGACGTTATTTAAAGAGTATAATCCAGTGAAATAAATTTGGAAAGAGGAAAAAAGGGACATGAAGAATTCAGAAGATTAGAATTTGGGAGAACACAGAGAGTGGATGCACCTGCGCCATTGCAAACGATTTTGAGCCATGTCATTCAGGGTCTCTAACCATCGGTTGCTATCATCTCGCCGTCCCCAACCTGGTTGTCTACACCTACCAACATGACTCAGTTCACTTGTCAGTGACTTCATGGACTTGTGCCATGTTTTGGTTTGGCCGCCTCTAGCTTTCTTCCAACCTACTCCTATACCACTGAACATAGCACGTCGAGGCAGTCGGTCGTTGGGCATACGTAACACGTGTCCCAGCCATCTCAACTGATGAAGTTTCACTACTTTATCAATTGATTTGCCATCCTTACCCAGTACCCGTTTCCTAACAACTGTGTTACTTACTCGATGGTCCCATGATATACGAGCAATGCTTCGAAGACACCTATGATCAAATACTAGTAGCCTACGGATATCCTCTACTCTTACCGGCCATGTTTCACTGCCATAAAGTAGGACGGAATGAACTGCTGCTCAGTAAACCCGTCCTTTGGTTGATAAACGGATATCTCGCCTACGCCATAAATGACTCAAGTTGGTAAAAGCTAGTCGAGCCTTCTGTATCCGCGCTGAGATTTCGTCACACACTAAACCACAAGGGCTGATGAGACTTCCAAGATAAGTGAAGCGGTCGACACACTCAACTACTTCACTCCCTATCACTAGTTCGGGTGTCGATGTAACCCAATCCTGAAGCAACATTTTGCATTTCGAGGGAGAGAATCGCATCCCGAACATGCTTGCATTGTTGCTTAGAGTGGTCAGAAGACTCTGCATTTTGTCAGCGTCTTCACCAAATAAAACTATGTCATCTGCATATTCTAAGTCAACAAGTGAACCTCCCGGTATAAGTTCAACCCCTGTATATTTAGATGAGGAGAGTGTTATCTCTAAAAGTACGTCGACCACAAAGCTGAACAAGAATGGGGAGAGTGGACAGCCCTGACGAACACCACTTGAGGTAATCAATTCTGATGACAGTTCGCCATAAGCTCTCACTCGACCAGTTGTGTTCGAGTAGAGAGCCTTTATAAGGTTAATGTACTTCTTTGGTACTCCTTTCAGTGACAAACACTGCCATAGAACCTCACGATCAACAGAGTCGAATGCCGCCTTAAGGTCGAGAAATACTACCATTGTGGGGCGTCTGAATGTGTGTCTGTGTTCTAGAACCTGACGTAGTGTGAATATCTGATCTATACAACCACGTCCAGGTCGAAAACCGGCCTGGTTTTCTCTAGTCTGCTCTTCACGAGCTTTAGTAAGGCGTCGAAGTATTATTGAAGCTAATATTTTAGACACTATATTAGTCAAACTGATTCCTCTGTGATTGTCACAAGAAGACTTTTGTCCTTTCTTATAGACTGGCACAATCAGTGATTGAGACCAGTCAGATGGGATTACGTCCAGTTCTTAAATCCTACCTAAGACCTCGGTTAAGCTCATTGCTAATACTGGACCACCATCCTTAAAAATCTCAGGATTGAAAATATACTCAGGTAAGGATAGTGAAAATGATAAGCTAAGCAACCAATTTATGACAAATGTATCTATTGTTCAGTGTGATTAACTTAATTCATCCAAGTTCATCTACTGAAGGGAATTCGATTGTTGAAAGAAATGTGGAAAGATAATCTTTAGATAAGTATTACTGTTTTGACACAGATGGTTCGTTGGTTTAGTTAAGATTCACACAGAGATTGTCTTGTTGTCAGATGCATAGGTTTTTAAAAATGTACTCAATAAGTTATGCATAAGCCAATCTCTCCCTCATCCCAATTTATTTGCTTTGGATATAGCAAACTCGCCGACTCACGTGGCAGCAAAACATGTCCCATTTGCTTGGTCTGAAATTTGCCAAGACGCGTTCAATTATCTGAAAGACAAGCTTTGTTCAGCTTCTGTACTAGCTCTGCCCGACATATGGCCTGACTCTGACAAAGAAATTTTAAACATTAATATTAGCAAATCAGCGATTAATGTTGTCTCATCTCGAATTGGGCCTAATGCTAAGAAACACATAATCGAAATGTTAACTGTTGTTATATTTATAGGGGAATACAGACCGTATCTTCAAAGTCAACATATCACATTGAGTACAGATCAACAGGTGATCCAGTGGATCCATGGCTAGAGATCCATGAAAGACGAATAGCACGATGTCAAGAGTGATTTCAGGAATTTGGCTTTATATAAGTTCGTCAACCCATATGTTTGAACAAAAATGGAGAATTTTATCTCACCGGTTAGTTGTTACATGGAAATTGTCCTTCTTGTAAAGATGTCGATGGTTGTTCTGTGTGACATGGTTCAGAGTCGATCACAATGCCTTAGGTGTATACACTCTTTGTCTTTCCTTAAACCGTGAGATTAAAACTGCTTTATACCTTTCTTTCTACGAAATGATTTTTTATATACAGATATTACTACCATTGAAGTAACTGCTTCTATGAATTTGATGTTCATCTTGTTGTGCTGATGAGGTGTGGCAACTTGGACCGATAAATATATGTGCCTAGTCCTACGTTGTGTCTAACTGACTGGTTCTTCTCTTTCGCAAGCAGGACTGAGTAGAGAGAAGTGACTGTACAAGGACTTTTGAACCGAGCCATTCCAAACCAGGAATGAAAATCGAGGAAGATCAAAGTAAGAAGCAAATTAGACAAAAGACGTTTATGTGAGTTATCGAGCCAACTAGTATTGGTAGATGGGGGGTACTATGTGTGCAACCAACACTAAACTATATACGTGTTGTAGTGCTTCAATCAAGTGAGCACCAGTACAGTTATACTTCAGTGAAGTGACAACTTGAATGAATGTCGACAAGAGACACAGAAGTATCACCCTGATTGTAAGGGACTAGTGGAACGGACAAACAGGGCGTTAAAAGTATAACTGTAGATATTTGTAAAACCTGAACAAGTAATACCTTCGGATATGAACTTGCCACGTTCTCTGTTGAAGTACAGAGGAGTTTACAAGTGTTCACAAAGCAAGCGCTGCATATTTTATGGACAGATTGAGAAATGGATCTAGCCAGTGATGATAGTCTTAGGAGTTCAGTGAGATGACCCGTTAACACTTTCTAAACCGAAAGGCGACATTGCATACTACCATAGTTGAGCTCGAGTAAATTAAAAAAGCTCGAATTCAGAAATTTTACTATGGAGGCAAAAGTTGAAGCACTCTTATGGAGATCAGTGATGAAGTTTTGCCTGAGCAATCAAGGTTCTTGAGTCATAAGAGAGACAAACAGGAAAATGAGTGGGTTAAGTCTTAAGTGGTACCCCGATAAGTTGCGGGAAACACCTATGCGCCGTATCTTCGATGCATAATCTTTCCCGTTGTTACCAATGCTATTACTGTGGTGATTGAGAACACAAGTGGGGACAATCGAATGTATTTGAACACAAAAATTAAAGAATATCTAAGTAAAATCTGAGAACCATCAAGTAAATACTTCATTTGCAAACTGTCAATCAATTATCTCACACTTAACTGTTCCTTCTTCAAAATTTCAATCAATCGTCTCAGACTTCATCGTTCTTTCGTTTCCACACCAATCACTTCCCATTCTCGTTCTCTTTCCTTCTACCGCTAGATATTTCACTTTCGATGATGGTACATACTACTTACATCTGTCGACATCGGTAGCACACACCATATTACTACTTATGCTATGGGGTTACGCTAACAATATCATCTCGCTGAGCTAATGGGGTATGGCAACTTAAATCGATGTAAACACGTATCAGGTTCTTCGTCGCATTTGACTGGCTGACTGATGAAATGGTATGGGAAAGAAAATAGAAGTTGGGGAGTGTAGTAATCGATTATAATCAACCAAAGCGAAGCTTAGTTGTAAGAGGTGGTACTAATATCAAAACCACCAGTAATACTGTTTTCTTCCAAATTCAGAGACACTAGGTGCTCTGAGTAACAATTGGGAAGCAGAGGTATATATATATATATATATATATATATATATATATATATATATATATATATATATGTCATTCTGACTTCTGGACTAAAGTATGTGAATTGATGTATCTCTATACTCTGATTCGAGTGAATAGCAACAGAATGAATCGTAAAAGAGGAAACAAACACGAATCGAATTAGTGTAAATGATCACCGATAGACCTACCTGTCATTGTTTTTTCATCAATATCATTTTCTAAATGCTGAATTGCATTTTTTGTAATCTGTCCTGACGGTTTTATTTTCGTAGTCGTCTTCACCATCAGATTAGTCGGATCATTACATATTGATGAGAAATGGTACAATTTATCAGGTTGCAAATGATCAGAGCATTTCATGGTTGTTTTGACTGCTGTTATCGATGGTGACAATGATGAACTAGCATTGTTGTTGTTTTTTCTCAATTGATTACTGTTTTCATTCTTATTACAGTTGATTGTAATAGACCTATTAGTTAATAGTTCTTTTTGTAGACCATTTCCACTTAATTGATTAGATTGTTTACATTTAGAAGATACATAAGATGATGTATGATTACTACAGGATGGAACTTGATCAGTTGTTACCAATGACAATGGTCTCATATTGTCTTTATGATATCGAGGTAAAGGTTTTAACTTACTACACTGAGATCGTTGAGAATGTTCATGATGATAGTGATGACTAAAATCAGTTAAACGACGATTGGATAAACTTTTAAAGTTCTTATTCCTCAATAAATAACTTTCTGATATTGTTTTTCCATACGATGACGAATGTGAGGATGACAAGGATGACGATGATGAAGCACATAACTTAGGATGAATTAAAGTAATCTCACTGAAATGAAGTCAACAATAAAAAAAGAAAATTTAATAATGAGAAGCATGTTTCTTACGTAAAGGTATAGAAACTAGTTTATAAGAAAATGATTTAAAATCGCTTAGGGAATGTCATATTTTGGAAGTTAATTTGCATCTATAAAAACAGCTTCATTGTAAACTAAAGACCATTAAACAATTTTAATCATCAAAGATGACCTCTTCGAATTGAATTAACTCGACGACCGTACAATAATTGACCAATAACATCACATGTAGATTGTCTCAGTATATAGATCATTAATGACTTATGAAATTAAGGCCTCCTTACTGCCCCCACATCATTGACTGTCGATAGCTTTTCATTTCAACCTACTCCATCAGCCCTAAATTTCACATTGACGTTTATACAGCATAGTATAGATATTTAATTAATTACCAGTATGAATATGAATATGATGTCGGTTCACCAAACAGGCTTTTAAATGAGAATATGAAAATATAGTCCATGGGATTAACAGATGGTTAAGGAAGGCATAATTCAATCATCCATGTCCATATTGTATTACGTTTCTTTTGGTTATACGGAAATGATCACCAAAGGAGGTTTCGGAATCAGCTAAGGTTGAAACTTTATTCTTTCCAGTAAATCACTAAAATTTACGGTTGTCTCGGTAAATTGTTCATTTCGTTGATAAATTCAAAAAAAAATGAGACGATTCACAAGTTGTAATCAATTAGTCAATCAATCAGTCAGTAAAACAACTCTATATATGAGACTGGACATTAAAGGGGACATGGTGGGTAAGATTTTAACACGTCGACTCAAAAGATCTGTTGAGAGGATGTTTCACGCCGCCAAGTTACATATAATTTTCTCAACTAAACCAGTACTCGCACAACTAATCAAGGATGGGTCACCGAACATGGGCTCCTCCGTGTGTGTATACCGATTCAACTGCTCCTGTGGAGCCAGTTACATAAGCCATACTCACAGGGCTTTTTCCTTGCGTGTTCATGAACATGTATCAGCATGGTTGGGAAAAGGAGTCCCTAAATCGCTCAACAACACTATCCTTTCTCACTTGGTAGATAGTGAACATATAAAAATAGAGGAAGCTTTCTCTGTTTTATATCAAATTCCAAAATATCTACCTCAAGGTGCTAGATTACGGTTACTCTACATAGCCGAAGCCATCTGGACCAACTCCAGAGAACTAAACTTATGTGTCCAGAAAAGGTATATCCAACTTCTACGTTTATCTTGGCCTACGACTGGATCACCGATTGCCTAGACTGAATATTATAAACCTCTTACCCCTTCCTGCCTTCCTTTTTTCCCTTATTATTACTATTACTATTATTATTAATTGATTACCTCTATCTTAATCTTCACATCCATTATTCCCAATTCGTTTGTCGTAATTACCTTGATAACAACCCCCTTATTACATATTATTATTATTATTATTATTATTATTATTATTATTATTATTATTATTATTATTATTATTATTATTATTATTATTATTATTATTAACTCAATTAACAAGATGAAATTCCCCTACTATGCATTTTATTCACACAATTTTTTTGCATTTTTATTTCTGCTATAATACTATTCTACTGATTGTGACTGGACACTGAAGTATTTATATCATAACAGATGCAAACGTTTACCATTTTTTAACATATAACATTGTTAAATTCATTAATACATGCCTTATTTTGGCCTTTGTAAAATATAATGATGGACTTATAACTGTAGAGCCTGATGATGAAGTTACTGAAAACAATTGTTCGCTCAAATATTCATTTTTGAATATTTTATGGAGATTTCGTTATGTTAATGACCGATATTGAATTGTGACAAACAGGGACCGATATACTCTTCTGTGTCAAGTCCTAAATTATGTAGAACTACTGATATACACATAATTAGGTACAATAAGGGGACGACCTACCTGCAAATATTGGGATCTTTGGTTTTTCTTTCCCAATTTGATTTACTAACTATTCCCGGTTGATAATTTGAAGAGGATTGACATCCATTCAACTTTTCGCTAAAAATTGATCTAGGTGAAGAGTCCATATCTAGTTCATTGTTATTGCAATTATTATTACTGCTAGTATTATGTGTGTTGTCTATCATCTGTGTTGGAATAATAGAAAATGGTTTTTGTTCTTTGAAATTGCATTGTAATTTATTGTCATTATTGAACCGACTCGTTGATGCCTCACTGAACTGTAATTTTGGTTTATCCTTTGTAGATAATTTAAACCATAATGGATGACGTGAGGTTTGGTTTACCTTTCGTTTATTACTGATGTTATTACTATTATTACTAATACTACCATTGGTAGATCGTAGACCAGGCAGTTTTAAAAGCTCCTCAATTGTATTCCTATTTCTAGCATGATATTCATAATCATCATAACTTGAGTTTATATCACTACCAACATCCGTTATAAGATTACACTCATATTCTATCATTGGTATAACACCATTATTAGTGTTCGGAGTAGTAATTGTTGTAGTCGCAGCAATAGTTGACTTTTGACTTTTCAATGCCTTAATTGAATCTATAATACTTAATGAATTTTTCGGTTTATTCATAAATTTACTTTTTAACAACAATAATTTATTTGAATCAATACTCGATTGCAAGCTGTCATGATCCGAGAGAATCTCCGATGTTTGTGATACTGTGTCATAATCATGTATAGTTTGTCTAATTTGTTCAACGTCGTCATTATCATCAATTAAACTATTATCCATATCATTATTCGATTTTGTATAGTTGTGAAATTTCGACATGGAATTTTGTTGTCTACCACCAACATTATCTTCATCATTATCCGTTTGTTCTACATCATCATCTTCACCAACATCACCACCATCATCTCCATCCACTTCGTCATCATCATCGTCTATTTTTTCTACCTTGTCAACACCACCTTCATCATTGTTATTGTCGTTCTCAGAGTCGCCATCACCATATTCCCCTTCATCATCACCACCATAAGAGATTGGTTCACTGAAATGAGTAGATTCTATATCAACATCCTCATGAGGCATTAACTGTTCACTAGTATTAAAATATTTACTTGAATCAATAAACAAGGCATCTTCTTCACTATTGACATTATTGTTGTTATGATTATTATCCTCATTACTATATGAAGCAGTTAATTGACTGATATCTAAACTTGATAAAATCGACGAGTTTATTACAGGTTGTTCTTGCTGGTTTGCGGTCAAAATTAAATTTAATAATGGCTCTGAAATGTCCATAGATAACTGGGCAATTGAATTCGTTTGTAATTCATTGAGCTAAAATGTAATTTAAGAAGAAATTTTTAAAGGTGAAAACCAAAAGAAAAATTGTTTTATTATGAAAATGCTTTATTATGATCGTTAGACTAGCCCACTTTACCATTACAGTTGTTATGCCCACACATTAAAAAGATGTGTATTCGAAGCATGGCTCCACTAAAGAGTAACACTTGTGTGTCCAACAATAAGGTTAGAAGCCTGGTACTAGATAAATTTGGCAAGTCAGTTGATAAGGCTGACTCCAGTGAACAAGATCTGTTGCGTATCTCCACCAACCACCTACCTTAATACATAGCTCTTTTGAGCATAAAAGTAAATTGTAAGAAGATAAAAAATCAGATCACAGTCACTAACTAGATATGAACCATCTTGGTAAGTATAAACTATTTGGTTGGGTATTGAATGTCACTGACATATAAGTTGGATCCCACTATATGCTAACTGACACAGTCTACTACGTGACCAACAGTACATGTAATCATTCAAATACACACACTATTAGATCATTAGTTATCACGTTCTCCGTAAGAGTTAAATTTCTGAATTTAAGTCCATGTAAAGTAAGGAACGTAAGAACCTGCGAAAAATGTGCATTAGCTCACGGTATCGCATAGTGAGATGAAATTATGAAGAATATTAAGGTAGCGGAAGTATAATAGAATTAGTAGTGTAAAAAAGCAGTGGCAGAATATGATTCTGGAAGAATAAAACGTATTAAAATAGTTTTGAAACCCAGGAACTAATGGTAAACAAAGAGTGATTGCAACTGCATTACCGTGGCTGATTCTGATCCATATTATCAAACGTCTTACATGTATTAATTCATTTTAGGATAACGTTCGTTTAAAATGTTAAATATATCATCCAACTCCTTAGAACAAAATATACAATTTAATTAATCGAATTTGTGAGAAACTATATGGAATAATGTCAACACTACTTTGACTTGAAATATTAAAAATCATTATTATACATATGATATATATGTCATCTACAACTTACCTGTTCATCGTATTTCTTGTTGACATCGGTAGTTCTTGAGTTCAACATATTGACCGTAGTTAAACAATCATCAACCTCTTCATTAGTTAAATTGTATTATTATTATTATTATTATTTATTATTATTATTATTATTATTATTATTATTATTATTATTATTACTGACACCACACAGTGACTGTGTATGATTTGCACTATTTGTTAAATGATCCCTAATAGAAGTGTTATTCTCATTGTTTATAAAACAACATTGGGATGTACAATCATTTCGATCCATGTTTATACAATCTTGATTTTTCATTTCTGGAACAGATGCTACATATTTATTCGACTCATTAGTATAATTATCAGTAAATTCTTCATTAATAGGTTGTGTAAGTAATGATAATGGTGACTGAAGCTGAAGTGGAGAAGGAGTTGTCATAATATATGTTGACTGACTAATTGCAGAAGAAGAAGTGGGATCCGAGAGACAACTTGAAGGTTTTAATGCATCTGTTGACTGTAGACAAATAACAGAAGTACTACTTGTTGTAGTAACAACAGTTGAATTAAAAATATCAGTATTGGGAGAGGGAGCAGTAGCAGTATTAGCAACAGAAATAATATTTGTTTGTCTGGCTACTTCAATAGATAAACGTTCCTTTAATTCAGCTAACTGCGTAAAACAATGGCCTTGATTCGCTTCAAGTTGTGAAATATGCCAATTTTGGTCACGACACTTTTGAAAGTAAGTTGGCGCTCTTACCTAATTTTTTTTTAAAGGAAGAAGTTATATCGCTAAAAATTATCAACAACAATAATAATCAATGGTAACTTTCACTACCAATGACTTTATGGAAGCTTTATACATGAAAGACAAATAAATTTACAATTTTATGACCTGTCGATTACAGTAATTATGATGGGAGTTTAATGTATATCGTTCAATTTCACGTCATCCTACAACATATACTTACTTCAGTTAGAGAACCATTGAAAGACAGAGAGGACTGAATAGCTATTTCAATCCGTCTTAAGTTCCTTGGTTGGGGATACTTACGATCGAGTCAGGTATTGGTTACAGGAACTCCAAACTTTCTGATGAGTCCGTTACCTGTAGACCACTGAGTTTCAACATCAGATGCTCTATTCCTGATTATAAGTTACAAACTGAGATGAAATAGCTGCCTAGTACCCCATGATCCTAAATAATTCCCCAACTGACACCATTTCGTGATAAAAGGCAAATTCAAATTATACAATCACTACAAATATTCCTCGAGTTCGATAAAATTACATTGCAATTAAGTAAACTGCATGTGATGTTGAATACCTACTTGGACTCCGACCATGCTCTAATACGGGCATGCATCTGATTGCACCTCACTGGACGCAGAGAAGCCACACTAAAAAGAACCATTAGAATTGAATTGAGTGACGAGAAAACCAAAAGTAGGTTCCAGGAACAACTGAGGTCACACTTAGGTAGTTCTGAAAACGAGGCCAAACCAGATGTTGCTTGGATAGATATACGAACAGCTGTGGAAACAGCAGCAACATCTATCAACGATTTAAACCAAAGGGTCACGAAAAACAAATGGATTTCTACTAATTCCACTGCAGCATTTGATTCTGTAGATCAAGGTTCTGTGGAAGTGTGTCATTAAAAGTTGTACCTCGGAAGTACATAAACCTTGTGAAGGCTCTTTATTCAAACACTACAAGTCGAGTCAGAACTTATGGCGAACAGTCATCTGATTTTGCAACCTCAAGTGGTGTCCGGCAAGGTTGTCCACTATCTCCATTTTTGTTCAGTCTCATCATAGACCAACTGCTGGAAATAACGCTCTCATAGATTGAATTTCCAGGGATTGGTCTCCTACCAGGAGGTTCACTTATTCACTGAGGAAATGTCGCCTATGGTGAAGGCGAGATATCCGTCTATCAATAAAAGGACGAGTATACTGCGCAGCAGTTCGTTCCGTTCTACTTTACGCCAGAGAAACATGGCCATTAATTAAGAGTAGAAGATACCTTAGAAATATTTCTGGCATCTGCTGGGATCACCGGGTAAGTAATAGTGAGGTTAGACACAGAGTATTAGAGAGTGATGGTAGATCAGTTGATGAGGTTGTGAATCTTTATCGACTGAGATGGTTGGGCCACGTGTTACGTATGCCTGGACACTACCACCACGCGTAAGGCTGACCAGTGTTGGAGACGGTTGGAAGAAAGATAAGGCAGTCGAACCAAAGCGTGACATCAGTCTTGGAAGTCACTAACTTCTAGTCTAAGCCATGTTGGCAGATCCAAACTACATGGTTAGGGTTCGCGCGATTACAGTAACCAATGGTTGGACACTGTGCGACATGGCTGGGAATCGATCACAATGGTGTCGGTGTATACATTCTTTATCTTCCCTTAAACTGTGAGATTGAAATTGCTTTATACCTTTCCTTCTACGAACTAATTCTTTCTTCCTGTACTATATCCTTATATTCAATCTTTCTTTTATACATTACTATCATTGAAGTGACTACTTCTATGAATTCGGTGTTCATCTTGTTGTGCTAATGAGGTGTGGCAACTTGAACCGATGCATATATGTGCTTGATCCCACGTTGTACCTGACTGACTAACTTCAATTTTCGCCGTCGCTTGAATAGTAAATAATTTTTATCCTAATATTTCAATTAAATAACTAAATATCTAAATTTTTCCCACATTTTTACAATGACTACAAAACACTGATTACAGTTTCACATTCCCATTGGGTTTTTGCTTATTTTTTTCTATATTCTAGTTTATTCCACCCACGTTTTTGCTACTGATTACGACTCAAGTTACTTATTTATCGTAAGATATTGTATTGAATTGTTTACTTATCTTATGAATAGATAACCTTTTTTGTTACGTAGACATCCTTATTCAAATTTATCCAAATATATACTATAATCTCCACAAAACCCCTGCTGATATATGTATGTTTGTGGTTGAAGTGGAAAACATTTCAAAAATGAGCGGATTATATCGCGCGAATCTCGATTTACCTACGAAAAACAAATTTGTTGATCGTACTTATTGGTTCTCATCAGACCAGATGTGGTGTTGCTTAGTGATGTGATATTTGCATAAATATAAAAAGGGTCCCTTGGGTTTTGTCAACACACACCACCTGTGAAAATGAAGAGATGTTCACCTACCTAACAAAGGACGAGTATAGTTTGTGGTAGTCCGGTATGTTTTACGTTATGCCTATGAGACAGTTAATGAAAGTAGATGTGTAGATGGTAAGTATTTATTTCCGAAGTACTGGATGAACTGACTGAGTATTAGTGAGTTAAGGAGTACAGTTTCAGATTGTAAATCAACTGATGAGACTGTAACTTCATGAACTAAGATGGCCAATGTAGGTCACACACTTATCAAATCAATATTCGATGCTACCCGGCATGGAAGGAGATTAATAACAGGTTAGATTTAGCCAAATAAAAAAACATTAATTAATAAATTCAACATCTTTGTTTTTTGTAGTGTTAATTTTTAAACTCGTTGCACTAAGCTAAAATATAGCAACTTAGGTCGAAGGACATTTATGGTTCTCCGTTGTCTAGTTACGGACTTACTGGGTTGATACCTTCCGCATATAAACTGGAAAGTAATGTAAGCAATTAAAAAGTGTAAAACCAAAAGTAAAAATACACAAATTACTTGGAATTTAAGTAGTATCGAGTCTGTTTCACTATTTAAATAACCTTCATTAACTAATAAGTCCAAACGGAAGAAACGATTATAACCCCAACATTCACCAACTTCAAAATGTGAAGCGAATTCACGTACAATATTGCGACTAGGATCACGAGATTGTTGATGAACCATTTCTACACGATATTCATATCTAAAAGGAAGAGTAATTATAAGATTTATTTTAAAACAGTGGGATAAACGGCATTTCTTCAATAAATATAATTATTCAATAATTCACGGTGTAAAATGGATGAAAGTAATAGGCGTCTGTACGCATCTTTGTTGAATGTTCCCTACGCATAGGATGAAGAAAGGAAAATAAGGGTTATATACTAGATTGGACAAAACGATAATTTTCATCTCAAGATAATTTGGTATCATCCTTAGTATGTTGAACAAGCAACAATAAAAACAATGAGTGTTTAATATTTGATTTTCAAGTAGCTTTGATGTAGGGCGGATGAAAACATTAAACATTTGTCGTGAACAAAAGATACGAAATGAAGCGGTGATGTTACACAGTAGACAATTATTGAGAGGACTAAAGGAAACTAATAATTAAGAAGTCTGGCAGTTGGGATAGAGATGAATCAAAGATCTACTAAAATGACGGGAATAACATTTCAACTGCCCTCTAACTAAAATCGAGTTAGCCACGATCCACAAAAGAATTTGTATGTTACATCTAGATAGTCTTCAACTTTTAGCAAACAAGAAAAAAATTCCCCAAACTTCAAATGAGAAAAAAATATCAGAATCTAACGCGTTAATTATGAATATATTTGAACATTGCAGTAAATGTTTTTTTAACTAAACTGAATGAAGTTATCAGTTAGTTCTATACTATTTAATTTCGATTACTGAAGGTCTGTTGTGATAATTACAGGTTAACTAACCCTATTAAACATGACCTATAATGATCGAAAATAGCAAAACTATGGAAAACCAGGAATCTTTGCCCCTTCGTTACAACACAAAAGGCATGAATTACAATTATTCAAATTTTTAATGTTGTTTAATTTCTTCATAAATATGCTGTGTTAGGACGAACATTTGATCAATCCAAAGTTTCGAGGATCGGTCTGTTTCATAGAAAAAGCTTTTAATTAGTCTCGAGAACATAAACAACAAAGTCTTGAAGTTGGAGATCCGAGAGAAATGCAATCTCAAGTACGCTCCGAGTAACAAATGTAGGAAAGTTCTACATATGATTCTCGCGAACCAGGAACAAAACCTGGTTTTCGAATCAGCCAGAATAACTGCTTAGTTTTACAAAAAGTTAACTTGCTGACAACCGAAGGGATTACTAGATTGAAGGTATTTAATCACACTGAGGTGGTGATTATAATCTAGCTTAAAGGCAGTACACCTGTTAAGTTGTAAACACCCAGAGAACTAAATAGTTACGCAAGTCCAGTTATCGTATACATCAGTGTGAAGCTAAGGGTGAATCATACAAACACTTGGCATTAGTCTATAATTTCATTGACCTTTGATTTGAAGTGGACCAAACATTCCAGATGTTCTGAATCTGACAAGAAAATCAGATTTAATACCAAATAATTTCACATGTCCCATTTCTTAAATTTTCCTTGTTTCTTTTTCAAATATATAACTCCATTATTTTTGTTTTAAATGACTCATTTTCTTCAAGTTAGTTTGATCGTACTAAAATCACGTTTGAACCGTTTAAGTTAATACGACATTGTATCAGGTCAGACGTTTCGTTATCTTGTATGTTTGAATTATTCATCTCATTATCGCTGTTACTATTTAGTTTCTTAAATTATTGGTAGAATCCTTCGCTGAATAGTCTCATACTTCCGCGAACACAAGCTTCCAATAAACTCTTAGTTTCGACGTCTTGTTTTTAATTTTACAACTCAATCTAATTCAAATTCCACAACTGGTTCTCCAATTCATCAATAAACTAAAAAGTTTGAAAGAAACTCGTCATTTACCCTATTCGTACTGAGATCAACTATATAATTACTGAAAATCAATAGAATTCTTACAATCATTTTGTGATACTATGGAATTAGATAGTTGTTGTACACAACAGACCCCTATATACAGTCAGAATTAGTAATTTCCATTTACATAACTAATACGTTATTAGTCAGTCAGCAGTTTAGTTGGAAATGACGGCTAGAACTTCTTCAACTATCAGTGTAACAACTTTTAAACATTTATCTAACTCATATTTACTAACGAGTAACAAGCAGTTAATTATCTAGCTTAATGCTTTCAACAAGGCATTCTTAGCCACATAAATGTTTTTCAGTAATTAAATCAGCCATAAAGAAAGTAGAATCTGTTACAAATATATATTTGACAATTGAAAAGTGAATTGTATATGTTCGAGGATTATCAGTTTCGCGTTTATTTCATCTAAGACCTTGAACCCCTAACTGAAATAGTTGTCAGGAGTTCAACCATACTACATGCAACTTCCGACATGGGTTAGATAAAAAAAAACAGTACATTTTTTTATTTGGCCCCCAAATGACCAGGTATAGCCGAGGGTGGGGAGAGTCAGCTCTCACTCTAGAAATGCTCTCACATGTTCACGAGTATACAGCCACTGTCAGAAAGCTCCTACTCACGGCCTTATCGGGGTGGGGGTTTGTTAACGAAATTGAAAGGACGAAAAGTGAATGTCCAGTGCTTTAACAGGGTTGGTGGATATCGTGGATCCATCTAGAAAAGTCGGAAAACCTTGATTACAAACTAATGGTGCACATAGGCTCCAGTATCCTGAGGGAACAAATGGCGTATGAGCCAATCGTTGGTCACTGGCTACCACGGGACTGCGACTCCTGACGTTGCTCCACTGCCTTATGGATCAGACTTTTGAGTCGAAGGCTTAAAATGTGACCCCCTGAGAAAACCATCTGCTTCGGTCTGGGTATATGGGCAGTATCACAGCCCACATAAAAATCAAGTGACTTGTGCGGCGCATATGTATCCGGTGCCCACTGTACCAATATTTATGTGTTCATATAAATATAAATAAAATGATCACTTCCTAACCTACTAACGAATTTGATAGTGTTCATGAAATTATCGATTTTCTTTATTATGACTAAAAATCAAGGCTGAACTTATCTTACAGTACTATTAACCAATCACTACTGTTATTGCTAATCACCTTTGTCTGAATTTCACATTGAACGATATTTTTCTAGACTTATCGATTGAAATCACCCCAATGACTCATTGTTGTTCTGCTGAGCCGCTATGTGTTGGTTAAAACTAACTGGGTGGAAAAAGGAGAAAATGAATCCGATAAAAATCATGTAAACGATTGTAAAGTACAGCATACAGGACAGATCCACACACACACACATACAATTTACAATCTAAAGCCCCCCCTGAGGTACACGTGATTGACCTTGTTACTTTAAAGTGCACCATAAATGTTATGATAAATCACCTTGACCCTATACACAGTTTGATTATGTTTATGGATTTTATAATAAGATTAGTTTAATCAATTTAAAGCAATTAGTCGGTTTCATAAATTTTGATAAAACAATGAGAAGACGGAGTTGATATGAAAAAAATTGATGTATTTGAGCTGTACATTTTAAACAATCTGGTCACTTCTATACTTATCAGAATGGGTTTTGTGGAGATTTTTAGAAATTTCACAGGTTGAAATCATGAGTCAATTGAAGCTAGACCACCATGGAAAACCTGGAAGCACTGGACGACCGTTTCGTCCCAGTACGGGACTCCTCAGCAGCACGCACCCACGATCCCGCACCCCGCGGGATCCGAACCCAGGACCTAATGGTTTAGCGCGCGAGCACTCAACCACTAGACCACTTATACGGCATCCAACGGTGTTAATGTCTAACTTCAACCAATCCACGAAGTTGCGCCACCATACACCATTGTCTTCAGTGAGCTAGACATTGCCGCGGTTGGATGCCGGATAAGTGGTCTAGTGGTTGAGTGCTCGTGCGCTAAACCATTAGGTCCTGGGTTCGGATCCCGCGGGGTGCGTGCTGCTGAGGAGTCCCGTACTAGGACGTGGACGACCGTTCAGTGTTTCCACACCACCCCATGGTGGTCTAGCTTCAAATGATACATGATTTCAACCTGTGAAACTTCTATACTTGTCAAGGCATTTTATGTGAAAGTAAAGAAAGTGATAATTGTAAATAAAGCAGAGAGAAAATTAATATAGTAAAAATATATTACATTTTTTAGATCGACTCTGTTTTCTGTTGTTCTATCAAGATTTTCAATTAGCCAGTAGCGTGATAACCATATTTTTATAAAAGAAGTGGATACATATTCTGCTCAATGATTCCATGTATATCCAAATGATTCATACCACTACATGGAATCCATCGATTCATAGTGATTGAATGACAGGATGAGAAGACAAAATTACATTCTTTTACCCATTGAGGCTTCTTTTTCACCATTACTTCCGTTTTTAATTCAATGTGATAATTACCCAGTGTAGTATTTGTTTTGTTTTCCAGTGTGATGTCATTTTAAGATACAACATTCTTCTATTTAATTAACATGTGATTTGCTACAACTCTGGTTATTTTTCATATGTGATTTATGCTTGTGAAGCGAGTTGCTTTCGAGTTTTAACGTGAACGATAATCTTAAGTGTGAGAATAACCATACATCATATGAATGACGAAAACTTTGTGGATACTTGGAGATAATGGAAGTTAATAGCTATAATTATTAAAGCTTTAGGATTGTCGGAGAGAATCATATACTGAGGATTACCTCTTCATGATTAATGTAATTTATTTCTACAAAAGCTTCATTAAATAAGAACATTCATGTTTCTCTATGTGAATTACTAATTTAAATTCATAAATCTTACTATTTTGCAAGGTTACCAATAAAAATTTGTTTCATTTAATATCAGAAGGGGTTTTGTGTATATTATAGTAATTTTAATATTAATAGTTGAGATCACGAGTCATTTGAAGCTAGGCCACCATGGAAAACCTGGAAGCACTGGAAGGCCGTCCCGTCATATCGTGGGACTCCTCAGCAGTGCGCATCCACGACTCTGCCTCGCAAGATTCGAACCCAGGACCTATCGGTCTCGCGCGCGAATGCCTAACCTCTGGATCATTGAGACGGTATCCAGTGGTGTTAATGTCTGAATTCAACTAATTCACGAGACTGAGCGACACACCCACCATTGTCTTCAGTGACTTACCATCTCACAACAGACCTGGTTGAACTCCACTGGTCACTGTTTCTCACTAGAACTCCAGGAAAAACGTCTTGAACCCAGTCACTAGTGATAAGTATCAGAACGGGTTTTGTAGATATTATAGAAATTTTAATGGTTGAAATCATGAGTCAACTGAGGCTAGACCACCATGGAAAACCTAGAAGAACTTTATTTAAGGAATTTCTTGACACAACTTTAGAAACTTCACGTAACAGCATATATGAAGGAAAATCAATCCCTCTCCGCAGAGAATCAATTTCAAACCTAATTAAACAACACTAATATAAATAATAATGATCTGGAATACTACTCCGTTGTTTGATTATCATAGTCAATGAACTCTTGATGTAATTTTTTAGGTCACGTGATTCATGTATGTGTTGGACTAATTATGAGGTCAGTTTTCTCGCTAGAAATATAGAAACAACTAAGAAAAGATGGAAACAAGTAAGATAATTTTAGAGATAACAATGGATAGAATAAAACGATATAAACTACTGGACACAGTGTGATATTAGTCAAGTAGCTAACATAAAACCAAACATTTAAAATGCTGCATTCAAAAAATCGGTGGTATGTCCTCATGAGTAATAAAACAGTCAAAGAATCAAAGTGAGGAATACTCACTTGGATGCTTCTAATAATCCAGCAGACAATTCTAAAAACACCGATAAATAATTACCACGTACAACACCATTCCCATCTGGATAAACTTTAAGACGCCAGCTTAAACCACCTACATGTAGTGGTTGACTATACACAGGATCAGCTCTTTGTTTCATAATGGAATAAGGCTGAAGTGTGAATGTACTCGATTCATAAGGAGGTACAATTTCACTAAAAATAAGTGATATGGAAAAAAGACAAAAACATTAGAAGAACAGAGAGAACAAAGCGAACAAACATATCAAAGATATTCAACCTAATGCATTGCTTCCTAACTTATAGGACGATAGCCAAAAACAAACTTCCATGCAATTAGTTCCCTTTATGAATTTAAATAAAGCCAAAACGAATATGGATGCAGAATAATATGAATTTACTATATTTCGTGGTTTCTCATCAGCTGCTTACAACCAAATATGTATTGGAATTTTACATTGAGATAAGATTTGGTGTGGAACAAGGTTATTATTGGTAACCTTTGTCATTCTAATTCTTGCCTTTCTTCAAAAACAAACTTTCGGAACGTTTGAAATTATCGTGAAGAGCTACAGAAAATAATTAGGATAAGGTTACTTCAAGTAATTAAATTAACTTATTACCCTATGGCGTGGCGTCTTTTTTAGTGTTTGACGCTATACTACTTTCCATTAATAAATAGTCTGAACTAGAGTTAATATCTTTTCAAGATGTGAGTATCGCAGTACACGCTATTGGCTTGTTGAAAGGAGATTCTTAGTACATTCACTTATTATCTTACATCGATATATCAAGTCACTGAATAAGCCATAGATCATCCCTTTCAAAGACTTAGTTACTTGTTATGGAAACTAAATCGGTCTCGGGAGATTCGTCTACTTGTAAAAACGTTGCGCAATCATTTGGAGACAATAATAATTGACTAAAAACTATGATAGTGAGTTACCCATTAAGAAAACAGTTAGTAAAACTTTTAAGAACCACATAATTTAGATACATTTTCCATCACACCACTTTTTAACTCATAATGTATGCCGCAGTCTAGTATTAATAAAAAAAATACTTATAGTGATACTACAGTATGAAAATTGTTGATACACGATGTTTGAGTATTAGAACAGTCCAGTTGTTTGTTAATTTCATGATTCACCTTTGAGAAATTGATTGAAAGCTTTACTAGAGAAGCTATTGACCAAAGGTTTCATTATATTATGGTGTTTTAAACCTTTTTGAATCATAACCTAGAAAATTCAAATCCCATAAAAACACCACTTGATTTTATCAAGCACGGGGTTGTCAGCTTACTTTATTCTCATTCAACTTTGTCAAAAACATTCTTATTGAGATAACACTAGGTTCTCCTGAATTCGACTCCCACCAGGAGATTCTCTTGCTGACGTGAAATATGCAGATGACACAACCCTATTTGACGAAGATGCTGAGAAAATACAGTCTTCTGATCGCCTTGAGCAACAATGCAATCATGTTTGAGATGCGTTTCTCTCCCTTTAAATGTAAAACTTTGTTGCAAGACTGATCTTTATTAACGCTTCCATTAATTATAGGCAATGAAATAGTTAAGCGGGCCGACCACTTGTAGTGTTTCACATGAAAAAATTATTTTATCAAAATCTAACAGTGCTGTTCTAATTTGAATACAATCGAGCGTGTTCGCTGTGCTGTCTTCAATCCTGATCCAATCATAACTATAAAAGTATACACTAGTTAGCTCTGAGATTTGCTGGATCGCATACTACATTCTAAACAACTAATACTTTGAAGCATTTTGCCAACTCACTTTCCCCTAGTGGGTTGGTGTCTGATGAAATCTTGGCACAAATTCAGGAAGCAGGGTTGGTTTCTGACAAATTACGTCACTGCTGTTCTAAGAGAGATGTCCATTTACCACCACAAGGACAAGCTTGTTGCTCAGAATTTCACTGTGTTCTACACTATGACCGTGAAATGTGGCATTTACAAAGGAGGGCTATTCTTGTATTACTGATACTTGGTCATAGATATCTTCGAAGATCTGCTTGCATATGGTAATACTACCGAGTAACCAATCCTGAGGTTAGAACAGGGGTATTAGGTAGGGATAACAGGTTGTGTGCTGAGTATGACTAAGTGACCGCTACGTTGTTAATTTATTTAAATCATGATACACTGTCATTCGTAACAAATTTTATAAGTGAATAACACTTTACTCACAAGTTTAATGCTGCAATAATTAACGTCCGATAGCGCATAACTATTATTGGATCTGATTAGATGAGATAGATAACAACCAATACAATTTAAAAACAATACACTAATTTAATCACCTTACAAAGTCAGCTGGTACAGGCGCACTAACAAACGAAGCCATAGGTTTACAATGTACATCACTAAGCAGTGCTAAAATTTCAGATGATCGTTCTACCATTTCAGACGGTTTCGCAACATCTACCGCATATTGAACATCATGCAAAAGATTTTCAAGTGATTCAATTTCCTAATAAATAAAACAAAATGAAAATTTTCGAAAGCAATCGAGAAAATGTACATGATATCCATATATATATCTATATATGACAAGCTAAGAAAGTGGTATTTTCTTCTAGTTGAAAAAAATTATTGAAAATCAAGAGGGTACGAAATAGATTATTTCAGTTTATATTAATTCCTCATGAATAAACACTGGTTCTCCGAGAACTCGAATCAGAAACTGTCGAACACTACAGGAGACCTTTAATAGTCAACATCCCTAATAAGCCAACACTATGACTTCAATTTGTTTTAAGACAAACTGAAAATAATAAAATCAAAGGTAGACTAGTGAGTTGTCATCTATAAAAAGGAATTGAGCCAAAGGCAAAAAACGTTACACTGGACGAAGTGAGTGATCTCGTTCAAACGTACATTAACATTGACTAGCAGCCCCACACGATAAAATATGTTATTAGTTTTATCGATGTACGCAGAAATTTAAGAACATAAATTCTATTGAAAATGTTAAAAGTTTGAACAGGGAAATTTCCAGATGTATGTAATACAAATCAACTCCCAATCGGTAAGCGAATGGACAATTTACCAATCCATATAGAAAAAGTGAGTAGACTAAAGACTAAGAGGTTAACCGGACAGAAAAGTCGACGAGAATGTAAAGACACATGAAAGTGAGAAAATCTGAATAGACAACCAGTCATAAACAACATTAACAGAGAGGACTGATTTTATGTTTGTTGAGTGTAATTTGAAAAACAAATTTAACTCACTTGAAATAATTGACTACGTTGACTCATTAGAGTAACTAGTTTCGATTTTAGTTGTGAATCTAAACGCGCTACCATTAATTCAACTGCATTGCGTAATTCTCGAACACGTTCTTCTTTGGCTTGTTTTACAGCCTGTACATTCTTCTCCTATTGCAATAACAATAATCAGTATTATTATCAAAATAAAATTAAAAAGGAGCAAAACTATTCGATCTAGGGAACTCGAAAAATAATTATTATAAAAAGAGAAAGAAAATGACCAAGCTGGCAAGTCAATAAATCATAGGTTAAATAGGACCCAGTAATTCTTATCAACCCAAGTTGCCATACCTAATATATAGCAAACAAGAGGAGGAAGTTATCATACTAAAAGTGGAAGAGGAGGAAGAATAATGTGTAGTTCAGTGAGAAACTAAACACAAAGAACATCGTTCAAAAAAGCTAATTAATCTGGAGGGATAATAACAGTAAGCTAAAATTTAGAAGATAAAGAATGAATGTGACAGCATCATTGAGGTCAACTTAACCTTCAACCATTGATTGCAAACTTAGTATGATAGTTTACAATTTCGCACACTGCACAGACTAACAGTCAATGACTTGTAGGACTGGCGTCATGTTAGTTTGGCTGCTAGTAGCCTTTCTTAAATTATTACCTATTCCAGGTGGAACTTCATGTCAAAATAAGCAAGGGTTGTTTAGTGTAACTAACTCAGTGTATGAAAGTGTACAGTTCACGCTAACAATAATAATAATGACTAATAATAATAATAATTGCGTGTGAATAAAAAGATGTAGTTAGAGAGGTGTTACCAGGTGAATTATGAAAACAAATTTATGTGAATTGTGTAAATTAGAATTGGGTAAAGCATAAATGAACATGGAGGTAGTTAAGCACAAACGTTATAAGCAAAGAAAAATGTTGGCTAGCAGTGGAATCCAGTACGCGCGTTTCGTCCCATTTGGGACTCGTCAGCTGGACCCAACTGCATCCCAAAGTTGACGCTCACTTCGTGACTCGGTTCCAGCGCAGGGGTATACAGTATCTGATCCAGGTATGCCATTATCTAATCGTTAACCAAAGTAAACATGGAGGTTGAACATACCTCCTTTGGTCTTGTAAAGTTAATTTTATTTTTTCAACGTATCATTGTTTAACTAACTAAAAGGGCTTATTTTGGCCATTGCAGTACAATAACTATGTACTTATAACTATTAAGCCTGATGACGAAGTTATTGAAAACAATTGTTCGTTCTAGAATTCTTTGTTAATCGTTGTCGACAGATCACAGTCAATTGACCAACAGATGTAATATTCAGTTTAATGTTAAGACTGTCAAAACGATTATTTATATGTATAGTGATGTTTTTGAGTTCGAATAATAAAAGATATTGAGGTAATCTTAATGTTCTGATTGTTGGGCTAAAAATAGGTGAATTCCACTTTGAGATATCGATTATTAGCACATAGAGCAGTTAGGTTACGGGAACAGAATCACTCACATATCCCTAGATGAATTACCAAGTACTAAATGGAAGAAATGACAATAGAAATCATTACGGACCTGGCAGTACTTAAGCGAAGAATTATGCAAACATAACAAAATTTTTATTTTCTCGAGTCTTTTATATGACCCTAATTGAATCACTAGATATGATTCCACCAATACGAATCCGGTTTGTAATACGCTAAGTCAAGTATGCTTTCCGCTTTAGACCGACGACCTTAGCTTTGATTAATTACAGTGACCGACATCAACCAGCTTTCAGCAGCAACCAAGATAATTCTCAACGCTTATTGGTGCAGGATGCATCCTTTCCTCCAGTCCGGTATTGAGTCCAAAGTAAGAAAACGACGAGCTCAAAACCTTTTATCGTTATATTTCAGACACTCATGGGTTTATGTACATAAATTAACAAACGTCACTGTCCGGCAAACCAGAAATAATAATTCATGCACAACCAAGCCAAGTGATAGAACAAAGGCAAAAGGTGAATAACTAATCAGGAATAATGAAGGAACGGTAAAAAAATAAAACAGTAGTTAATGAGTACAGGGGAAGCTTACGACAAGGGGAATATGAAAATATAACAATTCAGTCGCTAAATAATTATATAGTAAAAATGTATGAAGATTCTCCGTATTATTCTATCCGTACTAACAAAAGTAATAACGTAATTTGTTTAAGCTATTGCTCAGGATTTTGCTGAGATAATTAGCGAGTTTTGACGACTGATTATGACAGTAGGAAGACGAACTGACGATTATCTAGGAGCCTGGGTTTATCAAGGCATGGTTGTCGTCACAATCTAAAAAATATCTAATAGACAAACAACAAGTTGTACAAGTATTTCAAAATTAGTTTTGAAGAAACGATATGTGATGAAAAGTCAGAGCAGTTAAAAAGTCAACTATGAATTGGAGATTTTTGACGTAACATGTTTAAATCTATACAAATATGGTTACTAAAGTGGTTATATTATCAATAGTTTAAGATCTAAAAGACTTTCTCGTTCATCATGTACAAGCTTGTTAAACACGAAAAGAAATCATTTGGATATCTTTCCACCACATACAGATTTTTACCATTACTAGGAAGGTTTCGACATTTTATTTGATCTCTGGAATAATATACTTTGTTTATGTAAACTATATTCAACTTACATACGTCTGTCAACCCTAGTGGGGGTGCACGAGTCCACGATCAGGATTCTCCATGTAACTCCGTCCTCGGCAATCCTTTCCAGCTGTTATTCGTCCTTTTCATATCTGCTTCCAATTCCCAACGTAGTCTGTTCTTTGGCCTTCTTCTTTTCCGTTTACCTTCAGGATTCCAAGTTAGCGCTTGCTTCATGATGCAGTTTAATGGTTTCCTGAGTGTGTATCCTATCCACTTCCAACGTCTTTTCCTACTTTCCTCTTCGGCTGAAAGCTGGCTTCTTTCCCACAGTAGACTGTTGCTGATGGTATCCAACCAACGAACATTGAGTATCTTGCGTAGACAATTGTTCATAAATACTTGTACCTTTTGATGATTGTTGTGGTAGTTCTCGAAGTTTCATCTCCGTAAAGTAGAACTGTCTTGATGTTCGTATTGAAGATCTTATCTTTGATATTGGATGACAGTTGTCTCGGGTTCCATGTTTTTCAACTGCAGAAATGTCACCCTTTGTCAATGCTTGCCTTCACACCTGCATCAGATGCTACTTGTTAATCGATGGTGCTTCACAGATACATGAATGTTTCCACCTCTTCTAGAGTTTCTCCATCAAGTGTGGTTGGTTTGGTGTTCTCTGTGTTGTATTTGAGGAGTTTGCTTTTTCCCTTGTGTATGTTGAGGCCTACTGATGTAGAGACTTATGGTACACTGTTTTTCTTGACCTGCATCTGTTAGTGTGTGTGGTCTAGACTAGCTGTGTCATCTGCAAAGTCCAAATCGTTTAGTTGCATCCAATCTGTTCATTGTATTCCGTGCTTCCCCTCAGATGTGGAGGTCTTCATAATCCAGTGAATCACCAGAAGAAAAAGAAGAGGGGAGAGTAAGCAGCCCTGCCTGACTCATGTCCTCACTTGGAATACATTTCTCAGCTGTTATCCATGCACGACTTTGCAGTGTAGTCCGTCGTATGAATTCCGTATGATGACGATCTTCTCAGGTACACCATAGTGTCGAAGAAGGTTCCATAAGGTTCTCCTACCTAGGCTGTCAAATGTTTTCTCATAGTCAAGGAAGTTGATGTATAGTGATTCAGTCAGTCAGTAACAACGTAGAACTTCGTACGTACGTACATCAGTTGCCATAACACATTAGCACACAAATACAATTGTCGATTCAAATCTCGTAGTGGTAGAGGTAGTAAAAGTATAAGCAGTAATCGGAAAGATTAGGGTTTGAAGATGTTATTCAAAGAGTATCATCCAGTTAAATAAATTTGGAAAGAGGAAAAAAGGGACATGAATAATTCAGGAGATTATAATTTGGGAGAACACAAAGAGTGGATGCATCTACGCTATTGCAAACGATTTTGAGCCATGTCATTCAAAGTCTCTAGCTATCGGTTGCTATCGTCTTGCGGATCCCAACTGGGTAGTCTGCACCTAACAACATGGCTCAGTGCACTTGTCAGTGACTTCATGGATTTGTGCCAAGTTTGAGCCTGGCCGCCCATAGCTTTCTTCCAATCTGCTCCTGCACCATAAAACATCGCACGTAGAGGCAGTCGGCGGTTGAGCATACGTAACACATACCATCTCAACTGATGAAGTTTCACTACTTCATCAACCGATTTGCCATCCTTACTTAATACCCGTTTCCTAACAGCTTCATTACTTACTCGGTGGTCCCAGGATATATGAGCAATGGTTTGAAGACACCTATGATCGAATACTAGTAGCCTACGAATATCCTTTACTCCTACTGGCTATTCAACTGATTGTTCAACGATGATCCTGAGTGTCACGATTTCGTCTGTGCACAACCGATCCTTATGGAATCCCGCCTGTTGATCTCGAAGTTGGACATCTACTGAATTGTTCACCTGGTTTATTAATACTCTGTTGAGAACTTTTCCTGATACCTATAATAGGGTGATGCCTCTGTAGTCTTCATATTTGTTCAGATTTCCTTTCTTTGGTATCTTGATGAGGCATCCTTCTTTCCAGTCCGTCTGCACTTATTCTTTCTCCCAAATCTTCCTGAATAGAACATGAGACATGCTTGCAGTTACTTCTATTTCTGATTTCGGTGCTTCGGCTGGTATATTGTCAGGTCCTGCTGCTTTCCCACTCTTGATTTGTCTGATGACCGGCGTTCCTGATTTCTTCGATCGTTGGTGGAGAGCCGACTATAGGAAAGTTTGTGTCTATTGCTTTGATGTCCGTTGGGTCCAGTATATTCAAGAATTCTTTATAGTGTCCTATCCACCTGTTATATCTAGAGCTTATGTTCTTGATATGACGCGTATAACTTGAGCACTTGAACGCTAGAACCCTTCCAAATCGTAATGAGAAGACTGAAGACTAGTGAAAGGAATGTTATTCCAGACGGTGTCAATTATAATACAAAACTTAGATATTTATAGTTTTTAGTAAAAATGAGATCATAATTACAGTCCTCCAATCCATATACAGGGGTTTATTAGCATTGTCCAATCGGGAAGCTACATGTAGGCATTCTAGAATTCTTCTAAAAGGTGACTGGATGGAATATCTTCGGCTCTTTCTGAGCTTCTTACAGCTTCCTCGAGTTCACCCGTGGACCGTCCTCACGCCACCCTTTCCTCTGTTCTCGAATGACAGTGATTGGCTTGTCTCCTTTATCCTTGATTGGTCTCTCTTATTTACTGTAGTTCCCTGCTAGTTCCTTCGTCGTATCACATAGTTGTTTCATATTTCCTTCTCTTGCAGCTTTTCCCGTTGTCGTTGCTAGGTCTCCAACACATTTCTGCTTTTCGGCTATAATATTCCTCTTGACTTTCTTGTTTCATGCTCTGTATTCGGTGTGTCTTGATTTTCTCTGCTATTGTTCGGCTATTGTTAATTGTTTAGTTTAGTTTTGATATTCTAATTTCACTTTTCATATAATTTTAATCTATCATTTAATTTGAAGATAATTTAGGACACTAATAGGTGGCGGACTATTGAAAACCAGAGATTACTAGATGACCGTTTAAAAATGTTCGCCAACGACAAGTGGAACCTTAGAATTTGCTGAAAGTACTATGCATTTGAAATTGCAAGTACTTTGTGATGACAGCACAAGATGTATTGACTGTTTCATTTTTCACATGCTTGACTTAACTACTAACAATACCTATTGATAGTGTTCTTAGAAAACAGTAATAACAATTAATTGACCGAAAGTTTTAGTGATGAAAAAAGCAACAACAACAAAAACAATGTAACAGAAGAACGAAAGAAACACCAACTTACAACATCTTGAAGTAATGATATTAATTCTAAATGTCTACGTTTAAATTGATCCATTTCATTCTTTATCTGTTTTACATGTTCATTATAAACATCATCTAATGGACGAAATGAATGCTGTTCATGATCATTATCAAATAATGCACATTGGTGACAGATAGCATAGCCACATGTTGTACAAAATACAGATAAGCGTTCATTGTGTAATTCACAACTTGAAACAATTCAATGATGTTAAAAATTTATTCATTTTAATCCCAATTCAGAAGAAAACAATGGGGATGAAGAGAAAGAAAATAATTTGTTGTTATTGATAATAAAATGGAAATAGTTTAGTCAATTATCTTGTATATATCATAAATCTCATGACGGACTGAGGGGTTAGACAATTTTTTTCCTAGTTTGAAACATTTATTCTCCCGATGTGCACTCACACCATACAGAATCGAAACCACGGAATAATACTATTACTGAGCACAAATTCTGTGTGAATTGCAACCCCCGATTTCACGCCATTTAGAAAACACCGTGATTAATATCTGATATCACCGGAAGGTTTCTGTTCAACTTTCGAATTAGTGGTTTCATATGTAATGATTCATCATTAGAAGTTTGGAAAAAATTCACCGCACAATGATAAATTAGTGAATATAAGACTGTCATTCACTAAGGTGGATCTGTAGAGAGGCTTATAATGCGTAAAGATAATAAAAACCGATAGAATTTGACGTGATATAGAAATGAAGCGAATTCAACTTCCATAGCTTAAATTGTGGAGTAC